TTGTTGTTGCTGCTGCTGCTGCTGCTGCTGCTGCTGCTGCTGCTGTTGCTTCTGCTTCTGATTCGCACCGAAAGTAAATATACCGCCGGTATTGTTGTTTTCCTGGTTTGTTTGTTTGGCGTTGTTCACTGTCCCAAAAGCTGTGTTAGGAGGATTCGACGATCCGAAACTCGGAGTTTGAGATCCGAAGGGTAAAACCTTGTTGTCGCCGAACGCGGAAACGGAGTTGGCGTTCGCGTTGCTGTTAGCGTTAGCGTCCACGTTGTTGTTGGCGTTGATATTGCTATTGACGTTGGCGTTAGAGGTAGCGTTGACGTTAGAAAGGGTACCGAAGGCGCTAGAACCGGATGCATTTTGTCCACCAAAGGTACTCGTGACAGAAGAACCGAAAGGGCTGGTAACGGTAGCACCGAAAACAGGGGGATTCGTAGCGCTGTTGCTCCCGAATATGGAACTGCCGACACCGAAAGTCGATACGGTGGTTCCTGGTGTCGCTGAATTCGTGGCATTTTGCGAAACAAAGACCGGAGTTACGGTAGCGGTAACGGCGGTGGTGCTGGTGCCAGTACCGGTGGCGGTGCCGGTGGTAGTGACGGCGGCGGTAGCGGTACCGGTGCCAAACACGGGCACTGCCACGTTGCTGGAAATATTCGCGGAACCGAACACGGGTACACCGGTATTGCTGCTCGAAACTGACAAAGTGGAGCCAAAGGTAGACGTCGTGCTCGTTTGGGATCCGAACAAACTCGGTGTACCGCTATTGCTTCCGAACATGCTCGTGGAATTCTTGAAATTACCGCTCGGCGCGGTCGCTTGACCAAAAATGTTACTCGTCGTTCCGAACGTTACAGTCGGGACTGTAGAGCTAGCGCCAGTGAATAAATTGCCACTTGTTCCGCTTACGCTCGGCGCGGAGGTATTCGCGGCAGAACCGAACACTGGCACTGCCGCAGTACATGTCACTCCCGAAGAAGGAGCGCCGGTAGTGCTCGAGAATACCGGGGCTGAATTGATGGCTGGAAATCCGACGGAAGTCGTGTGGACGTTGGAACCGAACATCGGCGTGGCGGAACTCTTCGGAGCGGTAAACGCGGTGCTGCTAGTATTCACCGTGGAAGGTGTACCGAAAATTGATTGATTCGCGGTTGTGGTTCCAAAAATTGACGGACTGGATGCGTTACCGAATATGGAGTTGGCGTTCAAAGCGAACTGAGACGCGTTATTATTCGGCAAGCTTCCGAAGCTAGGCAACGCATTGTTTCCGGTTGAAAACGCGTTCGCGTTCGTGCTTTCTATCGACGCTTTTGCCGTATTCGGTACATTGCCGAACGAAAATTCTGGTTTGTTGGTAGATCCGGACGTTGCGGAATTAGCTGCGCAAAAACTGAACGTCGAGATCGCGGGTGAGGTAAACGTGGCTGCTGTAGTTTTAATACTCGAATCGTGTGCGGTACTACCGACCGCGACGTTCGAAACTGAGCCACTTTGCCCGGACGCGCTATCATTCTTTGTACCGGAGGACGTACTCGTGCTCACGTTCGTGCTTGCGCTTTGAAGTTGTTGAGAGTTTCCCAATGACCCGAATGTGCTGGTATTTTGCGAAACGTTTCCAGCCGAATTGAACGAGAATCCTTCGGCCTTGGAAGTTTGCACGTTACCCTTCGTATTTCCAAAAGAGTACAGGGGAACAGACGAAGCAGCGAACGTATCTACGGTGGAGCCAGTTGAGGCGGTACTCGCGCTTACGGCGTTCAACGGTATCGCGTTCGTAGTAGAAGTAATCGACGTTGATCCTGTACTTGATTCCGTACTCTGCGTAACGGTTGTCGTCGACGATGGTGCAATGTTTGCGCGTGTCGATGCACGTAGCGCGTTACCGCTTCCAAGCGGTAAATTCGGACCGGTGGCAAAGTTCTGAACCATTTGCGGGCCGTTCGTCGGGAAAGGATTAGTTGTTTCGATGTTCGCGTTAACTGCACTCGAAGTCGCGGGAACGGACAAAGATTTTGTCGCGCTGCTGCCAACGTCTCCGAACGGACTGGTCGTGGTAGAAGTGGCGAACAAAGGTACAACGGTGCTCGAAGAAACGGCATTGGACGTGAATAAAGTGCCGAACGAAGCGTTTGTCACCGAGTTCGACGACAATTTGCCAAAATCAAAATTTCCCGAGGTCGAGTTCGGATTGATTACGTTCGTCTTCGTGACGGAAGGTTGTGACGCGTTCGTGGACGTAGTCGTGAGCATACTTTCGGAAGCGCTGCTCGTTTGCTCCGGCACAGAAGATTCAACACTTTTTGCCTGTGTCTCGAAGACGTCGCTGTTAATCTGTGCTGTCGTGTTCGACGAGCCTTCTAGCGTCGGTAAATTAAAAGCTACGTGTTTCGAATGCTTAGCGCTCGACTGATTTGTCCCGACAACACTGGGAGCGACGGCCGACGTTGAGATAGGCGTGGTATTAATGTTCGTCGTGGTAGTCGAAGAGTTGAGAGTCGCGCAAGTTACAGGACATTCGACCGATTTAATCGCGTTCACTTCTTCCGCTTGAATCACTACGTCAGGATTAATTTGGCTAGCCGCTGAAAAATTAAACGAATTGTTGCCAGTCGAAATTTCATCTAATTTCCGCTAATTAATTTAGTTTTTATCGGTACTCACCTTTTCCAGATATGGCGTCGAACATGCTCTGAAGCCTCGCTTTCATACTGGTTTGCCTCATATCTGCTATATCCTCTTTCTTTATCTCTTCTACATCGTCCGTAGTAAATTTCGCTGCTATGTTACCTTGTTCTTCGACCAACATTCTCAGTTTTTCGTTCCTTTCCGGTTCCGCTTTCATAAACAATTTGTGCGTCAATTTCCCCGTGTCGGTAGATGCGACCAGTTCCTCAGAACGATTCTTTTTATCGTACGAATTCGAACGTTTCGCCTGAACGTCTGTCGTATGGTTCGAATCGATTTCGATACTTTTATTAGCAGTTTTCAAAATTCCTCTTATCGGAGAATCTCCTTGTATCTTATCGGAAGTGATCGACATGCCCGAATTTCTTTTCTCCGATACCTCCTGATGTTTTGGGCTAGTATTTTCAACTGGCGGCAACGAATGCGAGCTGTTGCTCTGTATACACTCTAAAGATTTAAAATGCTTTTCAAAATCTGGAGTTCCACTCCGTGAGAAATCTCCTGAAACAAATAAATCGTACAATCAAGCATAATTACGGTCGTGCAGAAATGAAATAGCTAGAACTAAATACTTACTGGCTTTCCTTTTCACACCGGAAGCAACGTGCTTACTGGAACTAAGGGAATTAATGATATCGTAACACGACGGTGTTTTTGTTCGTTTTGTCGGTCTATCCGTTTTACTTTGCGGAGAAGCGTCCTCTTCCGATTTCAAAGATTCTTCCCTACTTCTTTTTTGTTTCGTTTCATCCTGACTCTCGGATTCTTTGTTAATTACGCTCTCTGTTCGCTGTTTTTTTGCTAGATCGGAAGCAACGTCTTCTCTCGAAGCGTGTCTTTTCAACGATATCTCTCTTAAAGCTTCGGTGACGCTGGGAGAAGAGTATCGAATGGTATGAGGCGGAGCTACTCTAACCGTTACCGGAGTTTTCGGTCTCACGGATTTGGCATCTATCAACGGTACTGGACTAGCGTGAAGATTAACTTTTGGAAATTGCCCTACTCGATATCGAGACTGGTGAATCAACTTGTTGTTAGCTTCTGCCGCGTATTTTGTTAATCTAGTTGTAAGCCCTGGAGAAGTTACGTCGTTGTACACTCTGTAATAGAGAATTAAAGACGTACGTAATTGCTTCGTGACACGAATGTTTTTCATCCGAATACGTTAAGACAGAAAAAGCATACTTGCCTTTGATCGATATTGTATCTTGACGACGACAGTAAAGGCCCACCGATCGTATCCGTGGCTCTTGGATCGCTCGTGTTGCTGTCTATCTTGGGATTTACGCTCGTGCTCCACGGCGATACTTCTGTGTCAAAATACGTGGTATCTTCTCTTGTCGGCGTATGACTCTTTCTATATGCAGGAAACGCTTTCTTGGTCGAGCCTTGATTAGGAAATAGTAACTCGATCGTTTGATTCTCCAATTCCTCCTTGTTTCTTGCAAAGATCGGTGTCGAAATATGCTTACTAAGGGGACTATGGTCATAGGACGAATGACCAGAATTATGATAAAATTTGTTCTTCGAGCTGAGACTGTTCGAAATATTGCTTTTCTCTGCATCCTTTGAAATTGGACTGAGCTGCGCGATCGAACCAAACCCTGAGGAATTTCTCCTAGCAGGATTAGAATCGTTGCTAAGCTGGTAACGTGTTCCACGACGTCTCTCCATCCTAAATTGGGTTAGGTGGCGTTCTCGAAAACGGCGACTAGCAGTCTTCCAGTACTGACGAATATATTGGTACGCGTAATGAACGATATTCTTAACGCTAGCACAAATTTCGAGAGAAACGTGTTTGCAGTAATCGAATAAGAGTAACGCGTGCGGCGACAATAAGCTGTCGTTGACGATCAAAGAGTAACACGCGTAAATAGTAAGGAATAATGAAATCGTAAGAATAAGTATCGGCCCCCAAATGTTATAGAGAAACACGCACCCACTCAACACGCTTACTAATGTGACAACACTCCGATTTCCTAAATCCCACATATTACTTTAAACAAGTAACCTCTCCATGTTTGAAAAGAGCACACTCACCGAATCACCGGAACCTTGCTGTACTAATATCAACGACATTATCGACGTAGTAATTACTACGCGATGCTACATACTATCTTTTTTCACAAAACATTTTTTCAAATTTACCTTAAATTTCACTTTCTTCTAGTAATTTAATATTCACGAATAAATTTTCGCAAAAGATTTGACAAACTTTAACACTATCCGTTGTACGTATCGTTAAACGGTGTGGCATGTATGGCGGTCACATATTTCTTCTCGAATTCACGCGTTTACAGCGCCATCTTGAATCGCATAATTTTAACGTTCTTTGAATTCGGTGGTTATTATTTGTTTCCATTTAAATAATGTTTATTGTAACGAAAATTTTCGTTTACTGTTAATTAATAAAAATGTTCTTTACATAGTGTATATACAAATATGCACTGAAGATGTTCAAGAAATACGAACGTCGTCTTAATGTCTTTTAATAAATCCCTATAATTTTTTTGCACCGCGTAATAATTGTCAGATAAATTTCTATAAATAATCGTTTCACTGGCATTAAACGGAAAAAAATTCAAACTGATATAATCTTTTGTAAAGTTAACGATGCAATTTTTTCGATGAATCGATATTTAAACGAAATTCCCGTTTATTTTTTTATGCTTTGTAGATTAAACGTATGTGCTCGCATATGAAATAGAGACTTTATAGGCAAATTGACAACGATCGAAAGGAATTTCGTTCGATTATTTATAATTTATAGGAAACGATTATACGCGTACGTTCCGTTGTTCGGACCAATGACCAGATACGAGATTCCGAATTCCGATCTCGGTCCGAAGTTCGCTCGTTTCGGTTTCCATGCTAGCAGTGCACGTGGGAATTCCTCGTGATAACAGTACCAAGAGGAGAAGGAGACGCACATCGAATCGATCGACTGTAATAACATTTTGAATCAGAATCACATTTTGAAATCATGTCGTGGCTTTTTGGATATCGTAATGCACAACCACAAGATTTTTCACAATTCGTAAACCCACCGCTATCCGGCGGTATGACTGGCGGTGGAGATGGAGATTCTCATAATCCACCACCTAGACCGTCTCAAATGGAACCTTACCGATTCGATTCGAGTGCTCTGGAAAGAGCAGCATCAGCTGCAAAGGAACTTGAAAGATCCGGTATGAGTGGATTATTTGTATTACATGTTTCTCTTGAATAAAATTGTTACGCGAGGTTACGTAAGCAGAAAACGATTAGTTAGGTTAAGAGCCTCGTGTTTCCGATGACATGATGATCCATACTCTGACACCGCGATGATGCAATAAATTATCGTAGAAGAAGATTTTGAAAAATTATGATCACCAGTGAAAATGCTCACGATGCAACTAACCGAAAACATTATCCGAAAATTCTGAACATTAGCACAATTTTTCTGTTCTTATAACGATTTTCACTCGCCGGTTGTTCCCAAATTTTTCTCCGTCTTCTGTTCATCTATAGAGACTATTTTTTTCTTCTATGAAACTTAATAAATAAAATAGCGTATCAGGTAACAAGAGTCATTAATTGTAATTAAAATGCTAGTTATGTAAAAATATGTCCCTTTTACGTATGTTTCTTTTATTTTGACAGCGCACGCGAAAGAAGCGTTAGAACTTTCAAAATTGCAAGAAGCTACTAAGCAAGCGGAGAGACAGGCAGAAATGAAAAAATACGAAGCTAGCATAGAGCAAATGAAAGCGGAACAAAAACGTATCGAAGGAGAGGAGAGAAGGAAAACCTTACAAGAAGAAACTAAACAACACCAAATGAGAGCTCAGTATCAAGATCAACTCGCGAGGAAACGATACGACGATCAATTGATACAGCAGCAAAGAATGAATGACGAGAATTTAAGACGGCAAGAAGAGTCCGTAGCTAAACAAGAAGCCATGAGAAAAGCTACGATAGAACACGAAATGGAATTGAGGCACAAAAATGAAATGAAAAAGTTAGAAGCAGAGGTGAAAGCCAAAGCGAAAATAGATCGAGAAAATCAAGATTTAAATTTAGAGCAAATTAGAGTGAAAGCGTCGGAAAAGAGAGTGACGGTATTGGAATCTATAAAGTGAGTAAAGACAATCGCCGATGGGGAAACGATCGGAACGAATGAAATACATTTATCGAATATATTGTTTCAGAACCGCTGGTTCGGTGTTAGGCACTGGTATGACGGCTTTTTTGCAAGACTGGGACAAGATCATCGCTGCCACTGGTGGTTTATCTCTGTTGGCTTTTGGCGTTTACACGGCGAAAGGTTCAACGGGAATAGCTGCGCGGTATATTGAATCACGATTAGGAAAACCGTCTTTGGTTCGAGAAACGTCTAGATTTACGGTTTTGGATACGTTGCAGCATCCTATCCAAGCAGTAAAAAAACTTAAAAGTAGTCAGACCGATGCCCTATCCGGCGTTGTTTTAGCCCCAAAACTTGAAGAGAGATTACGCGATATCGCGATAGCTACAAAAAACACTAAACAAAATCGTGGAATGTATAGAAATATATTGATGCACGGTCCGCCAGGAACTGGTAAGACTATGTTTGCGAAGAAATTAGCAGAACATTCGGGTATGGATTATGCTATCGTGACTGGAGGTGATTTAGCGCCTTTGGGTCGAGACGGTGTCACCGCTATTCACAAAGTGTTCGACTGGGCAGCAACGTCTCGAAAGGGTCTTCTACTTTTCATCGATGAAGCTGACGCTTTCTTAAGGAAACGATCGAGCGAACATATTTCAGAAGATTTAAGAGCGATGTTGAACGCTTTTCTTTACAGAACCGGTGAACAGAGTAACAAATTCATGTTGGTTCTTGCTTCGAATACTCCGGAACAATTTGATTGGGCCGTAAACGACAGATTAGACGAGATGGTGGAGTTTCGTCTGCCAGGCCGAGAAGAGCGTGAACGTTTAGTTCGTCTTTACTTCGATAAATTTGTGCTTCAACCGGCGATCGAAGGCAATAAAAGATTAAAAGTTGCACAATTCGATTACGGCATGCTTTGCAGTAAAATCGCTGCAATGACCGAGGGAATGTCCGGAAGAGAGTTGGCGAAATTAGCTGTTACCTGGCAAGCAGCGGCTTATGCTTCCGAAGACGGAGTACTAACGGAGCAGATGATTCTGGATAAATGCACAGAGGCGATCAAACAACACAGACAGAAGGTAACCGATAACGATAACTTCCTATTATCGGTAAAATAATAATTAGCCATTTGTTAAAGGCTTACGAATTGCTATTGAAAAACTGTTTCGTTGATTTGGCGCGTTTCTTTTTTCGCAGGTTCAATGGCAAAGCGAGCAAGAAAAACAAGAATCAAAATCAATTTATGCAACTGAAAAAGAAATGGACGTTCAACCTATAAAACCGAAAACTGTGATCGAATCGACGCCAGAAGCAAGTTCCAGTGTAGCGACGGCTTAATTATTAAGCGTCGCTGCAGAAAAATTAGCGAATAATATTTTACTAAAGAAACTAGTATTAAGTAATTATAAAAAAACGGTGTAAATGATTTTAAATGAAAACGAGTTTAACGTGAACGTGACTCTCGTTCTCTATATAATGCGCGCGTGTATAAATATTGTAGAGCAGTGATACGTTTGTTAGTAATGTAAATTTATAGCTCGATTCAAATTTATATATATACATACATACATATATTGACACACCAGACACATAGTACACGCACATGCATCAATTGTAAGAACGAAACCAAAATCTAATTGAACAAAATTGTAACTCGATAGTAATGCATATATGATAGTTAATGCGTGTAAAAAAATATGAGTTACCTTATCCTTCAATTTTTAAATCATTACACGAACCATTATCGTAACTATTATCATAACCATTAATCGTAAAAGTGTAAATGTTTAAATAATTTCAGAAGAAACCTATTTAAAAGACATTGTGTATTCTTTCATGACGTTTAATAAACATATAATATTTGTTTTCATCGGCGTTTATTGTCTAGTCAAAAGCAACGTAAAAAGGTTAAAAATAAGCGAACACTTATAATTAACAGCATCGAGGTTTTTATTTTATAATTACAATTTTCGTATTTAAATCGTTTAAATCTTGCGTTCTTTACAGGCAAAATTTACTATTAGAATATCAAGAATCTATTCTGCTCTTAAATACGATGTTTGGTGAAAAAGATAGCTGTAAGATATAAATTAGTCAAAATTGTAAGACGAAGTATTTAATAAGAATACAGTGTATATCGCTTCAAGTAATGTACATAAAAGATTCACACAGCCCCACCAGGTAGATAAACGGTACATTCATCGAGTATTTAACTAAAAAAGCATTAAAAATAAAATTGCTTTTAAAGTATTTAAGCGAACGTGATTCGATTCAACCATAGTATCTGCGTACCGTAGTCTTTACGTTTAAAATAGTGATACACACAATTAAGTACATAGTCTAGAGCCGCTGATGTACATTTGACGGCATCGTAGAATAACGTCGGTAGATACGTGTAATCGTTGATTGCGCAAAAATTGTTTGCGCATATATACAAATTTTTGATACATCGGAAAAAAAAAAAAAAAAAATTGAAAAAAAAAGAGAACAAAAGGATAAACAAATAGTAGTATATTGCTTTAATTTTATTTCAATAGTATTGTAAAATCAGTCTCTTGGTAAGAAGACAGTTTGCTGAAAGGCACACGTACATCTCAGTTTTACTTTGGTTTTTACTTGATCTTTAGCACTATTCTTCACGCGAAAGAGAAATAGAACGCATATTTTAATCTCTAACGCGAAGCCCCCAGATACTCGTTCTTCGGACACCAACCGTTGGTCTCGCAACGGAACTATATAGGAACTTGTTAAGTTGAGTTTCACCGCAGGTAACTTGTAAAGTTTTCTGTACCGGCTCGGGTATTAAACCAAAGACATCCAAATATAACAAAGATGGCATATACGCTAATTTTACATATGCAGATGGAGGTATGCCGTAACAGCGACTTAGCGATAGATGTTCTAATTTTGATAGGTCTAATATACAACGAACAGTGCTCATTGTAAGCATAGTGCAATCGCTCAAGTCTAATTCCACCATATCTGGACAACTTTTTACCAAGTCTTTAACATCTGTAACAGAAGGGAAAAGTATATGATATTCACCATTTTAAATCACCTTTTCGTCAACAATATTGCGCTTACTATCGTCTGTCATTGTCTTTCTACATCCGGCTATGTTCAAACGCGTGATGGACGAGGGTAAAGATTTACAGAGTAGAGTCATAGCCTTGGCATCTAAACCACACCATGCCACATTAACAGCATTCAAGCTGAAAACATTAACAAATAAATTGGATTTTATTAAAATTGATATACTAATTATGAAATAGGTAGCAAATTGGTTTTTAAGTAACCGTTCTTACTTCTTAAGTTTCGTTATATCTTTGATACACTCGACATCCATACCTTCGCACATTGTTAAATTTAATATTTCTAGATCATTATTTTCACCGATAGCCTTACAACACGATCTGTTTACTAAACATTTTTCTAAGGATAACTTTTTAAGATATTTACAAACGGACAATAACATAGCTAATCCATCCGGAGAAATCACTGCCATCGAGAGATCCAAATATTGTAATTTGCTAATGTAATTGTCGGTGAGAACTTGACTATTTTGAAGAAACACCGGATCCGCGATCTCTGCTTGAGCAAGTCGAAGTATTTGAACACCACGTGGTAATATATGTCCCAACGTGCCTTCGTTCAACACTTTACCACCCAAATCCAATCTACTCCATAACGCTTCGTCTCGTGCTATCTGGCACCATCGTTTGCAAACCAACATGGAGCGCACCTGCAAAATAACAACGACAATGTGACGGAACAATATGTATAAACTTTCGATTCTTTATAATCTCTTGTTTTTAATACATAATTTTACCAGGCATTTTTTGGGGAGCCATTTTAATATCATTAGAATCATCTCGTCGGACAATTTATTAAACTTATCCTCGCCGACAACCGAAGACTTTCTTTTTCTTCTATAGAGACAAAACTGCTCGAAACTACTTTTTTCCGAAGAAACGTTAAGATCGTCTTTGCAAAAAGTCTCTTTCGTATTGATAAAATTGTCTATCTCTGTCCTAGAGGAATAGCCAGATTCGTTTCTCATGATCGAATACGTTGTTGGCTCATCCGATTCGTAGGGATCTTGATCTAATCTACGAATACGAGTAAAACATTTAAAAAATATATTACAATGAAATTATATTAACGCGTAAATGAAATTAATGGAAGCATATTGTTCTAAGATACAAACCTATCCATGATAACTGTATCAAAGCTTGAACCTCTAAGAATGCTTTCTTGACCATCGAAACTATTAGTTTTATCACATTGTTTACTACTATTGGAACTAGCAGGTGACGCGCATTTTATGGATCGTGTATTTTTTGCTCTTTTGCAACTCGTAGCTTCATCTTCTAACATGCTAACACCCATATCTTCTAAAATTTCTGGTTCAACGAGAGTTCCATCGCCGGAACAAGACCAATTGGCATTATTTTTAGACGCGCTATTCAAAGTACTATTCAAATTGTTATTGCAGGTGTCGTCTAGGCGTAATCGTTTGCTATAAAATACACAGGCATATAGTTGTAAATTTTTCTATTACCCTAGAGTAACTTTATTAATTATTAAGAATAGATAAATGTTAGAAAATAACCTGCTCCACCAGGGTGAGGAAGGCGATCCTTTGGACATAGTAATTCCAGAGACTGTCCTTAAATAGATAAAATTTGCTTCGCGAAAAATTTAAAAGACTAAATTCGAAAGATAGAAACGACACAGATTAAATACCTACCGATATATATTTATAAAGTATGGGTCACCATAGATACAGAATCTTCAACATTTATAGAAGAAGAGAAAAGAATTGTTATTTCGATCGAAAACGTACATTTACAATTGAAAAGAAAGGAAAAAACATTAAGCCATTTAAATGTAAGTCAAAAGGGGCAATAGAAAGATGCATGTACGATTTTAATATCTTCGTTAATACGAAGAAACGCAGTTGAAATAACAGGTCTACGATCAAAAAATGACAAACAGTACGAGAAAGAGTGAGCAAGTAAATAAAAAAAGTTAGCTCGATATTTCAAGAAATCGTTAAGACATTAGAAGGAAAATGTAGAAAACAAAAGAAAAATAATTCGCGTTTTCAAAAACAATAAATACCTAAAAGAAGAAAGAAATAAAAATGCTTAAGCGATTCGACTAATTTCATCGAAGAAGAAAATAATTATTGTTCGTCGAGTTAAAAAACACTAAATCAACGAGTACTATTTTACAAGCAATTGTTTCGTTGCGATAAGTTCGACACGATAAGTTTTCAGTGATTCGATTAAGAAATGAAAACGATAAACAGCACTGTACGAAATGAAAAGAAACAATTACCGTACCACCGTTGTTGCCTTTGGATGAAACTAGTATCAAGGTTCTTAACCTTACCTGTGCGCGCGAAAATATGCACCTGCATCACCCCGGAGTAACAGGTAAGAATAATATTCGGCGAGATTGTAAAAATTTGAAAATATCTTCCGAAGAAGGGAACGAACGAAAATTGTACTCACCTTTTAGGCGGGGAAAATTCTTCGGAATTCTCGAGGAAATCGTCGCCGAGTCTCGTGTGCTCCGCCACGCCGGAATTCATTTTTGGCGGAATATCGTCGTGATACCCTTTTTTCAATCGCCAATGGTCGTACGGTCGAAAAACAATCGCTAGTGGCGAGTTCCAATTGCTCAATCTTTCCAAATCTCGCTTCCAATTGGCTGGCCATTCGAGTATTTCGAGGTGGCGGGAAAGTTAGAGATCATTTCGTTCGTCCGCGTAGCGAACCTAACCAAAACATCGGCGCTACTGTGCTTTCCACGATTACCTATTGCACTACTACTACTACCGATTATCATTTCTGCTATTTTACCGATAAAACGATCAATTTCTTTACTTATTTTTCTACTTTTCTTAAAAATAGTACTTTTCTTTTTCCAATTAATCCACTTATTTCAACTCTGCTCAACGAACAGGTATTTCGAACGTAGAAATTTGTGACGAGATGACGCGTTATTTCAAAGTTTTTAACTTTTCATCTTCCGCATATATCTTCATTCGAAAGTTTACCAAATCCGACGTTCTTTTTCGAAAATTGATTCGAGATTCTATCGGTTGTATTCCTTGCTCGTGCCACCAACCATACCTAAAATGTACTTTTCTACGTTTCCTTTTCTTAAATAAAAAATCGAAAAAATATCATGATAGAAATTACGCGTGGCTGGTTAACGGAGGTAGACGATTAACACTTTGTGCTTTATCCCTGTTCTCGTTCGTATACTCGGCCTCGAGATTCTCGTATTTCGCGGAGTAGAATTTTCGCGCGACGAGATCGTCTGAAACGGATTTTAACGTCGACTATGCTCTCGTACGTATGGTTGTTTAACAAATGTTTTCGAAACAATTCGCGTGTACCTTCGATTTTGAAAGGACGAACGTTCGATCTTCCGAGTAGCTGATCCTTGGAGAAATATAGTTTGAAAAGTGGCGATTTCTCGGACGTTTCTCCGGTAATCGAAGAACTCGAATCGGGAAAATTGCTTCGATCCATCAGATACGCTTGACTCGCGTGTAACGTTATCCGTCGAATGGTGGATAATCGCGCGAGTCTCTAGGTTGACATTCTTCGCCTTGGAGGTACATATTTGATCGATACGCACCGAGAACGTGCCGCAAATAAATAGGAAAGGGAAAAGAAAACAGTTGAAAATTTGCTTTAGGACTTTGACGGGCATATATTCTAAAGACTTTTTAATCGACCCGAGATCGTGACTAGAATGAAATCGAATGAAAAAGGAAAGAAGAGAAAATTTTTAAAACGGATAAGCGAACATTATCGAGGACGTAATAAGAGAAAAATGGCTAGGGTGTGAAACATCGCTAGTGTCTGATCTATTTAAATGCTATTTTATTAGGAAGCTTACAAAGTTCTCGTAAGACTTGCTCGCTTTTACACGAAAAAAAAACAATGTCGTTCGTGGACTCGGACGAGTCGAAATTTCAAAAAGTGTTTTCCCTTTTTTCTTGCTCGACCCTGAATCGCCAGCCCCAAATGTATTTGCACGTTTCTTGCAAAGAGGCGCATTATATTCAGAGGTTTTTGCTCGCACGATTGGAAAATCATACGTATAAACGTAGCGATGATAACACTTCACGCGTACACATTATTTTCGTAACGTAAAACACACGCATTATACTTACACGCTCGCAACGTCATTTTCTTCCACGCTTTCGTTCTTTCTTTCTTTTCGCCCTCGATTGCTACGATTACGAAAGAGAACCTTATCGTTTCGTGTCTTTTTTTCACAGAAAAAAAGGACGAGCATCGTTCTCGCTCCAAGGTTTTCTGCTATCCTCGATGCTGGGACATAGCTGTTAAAATCAGCCGAAAATTAACGAAAGAATAACGACGGAGGCGCTCTTGGTAGTCGCTAAATAAAAATCTTTTTTTAATTTTCATAAAAAACGAACGATAGGGTTGCTGGTTTTCGATATCGTGCACATGATAATCGAAAAAGCAAAAGGAGAAAAGAAATATACATGTATTTCATTACAAAAGCAATACTTAAGCTGTTTGTTTATTCTTGTTTTTTTTTTCTTTTTTTTTTCAGACTTTTTTCAGCATTCACTCTTACTTATATTTAAGAGTTTTTCTCCGATGAAAAATGGAAAACGTAACGCGAAAATGCTGCTTCTATCGGTTTTCGACGCACGCGATACACCGTTTCTCGTTTCCTAACCGAAACAGGATAGATTTACGAGCGATATCGTTTGGCCGTGCACGAGCGAGAAGCTTCGAAGAACCCGTTGATTAGATTTCTTTTCTTCTTTTATTTGTTCGAACGAGCGGAACTCGAAGCACGATCGAAGACTCTCGCCGATGCACGGCGCATCGATACCTCGTTTCGTCACCTTACAGACTTTAAGGATGTTTTTCCTTTTTATATTTTCACTTAAACGCTAATATTTTGTTTCGTACAAGCATATGTACGTGCACGCATTTATACGAGGTGTTTCGTAACTCGTAGTGTCCGAATTATCCACGGAAGGACGTAAACGCGATGGGAAAAGAACGCTTGTTTCTTGAACGCAAGTTATGGCTACTTTTCTATTTCAGTAACTGCCAATTATAAACCGAGCTGGAGCAGCGAAACGAAGAACCTCGTAGCAGATTTAAGAGCCGGTTAATATCGTGTCGACCAATAACGCGAGACACGAAATTGATAATGGTACGTGTCCGCGTAAACTTTCGCTGCAGTGGTTAACACGCGTTAATACCCGATCGATTAAAGACAAGTACGTTTTATTAAAGGCGAGTATGTCAAATATAATTTGGAACATAACGAAATATAGAAAATAGAGGCGAAATCGCGTTACGGAACAATGAAAATACGACAGCCGCATATCGCCGAGACGAGTTCCCCACGTATCACGCAACACCCTGTGTATACGCATGCACGCGCTTTCTCTCTCGCATACTTTATTTTCTTTTTTATTCCTTTTACACGCAGACTTCACACACGCGTAATTACAGTTTATAAATCTATGTATTATGGCCATGGAGTTTTCTTTTCGTTCTTATTTATCTCAAACAGACACGCGTATTTCTCTCCTCGCGTTTAAAACGTTCCCTCGAGAAAGAGGAGCTGCTATATGTTCAAATAGTCGACATCGCACATGTTCAGCGGTTCGGCTGCTATAAACGACGACGCTTTTCAAATAAGTAGGTATTTTAAAAAACACAGAAATTGAATGAAACCGCTATTTCTCATTCACTCTCTCCCTTTTTCTTTCTCTCTTTCTCTCACTCACTCACTCACTCTCTCTCTCTCTCTCTCTCCCTCTTTAACATTCTAACTCTTACACTTGTAACTCTCTACGAGGGATGATATCGATTGAAAATGCATTCAAAATTTGTTTATGAAACTATTACATACTGAGTAGCCAGCGTAATTAAAAGGAGAGAAAACAGCTTCGAATATTAAAAAAATGCATCGATAAAATTTGAAACGGTCAGAAACGAAAGATAAATTTTGACAACGTGTGGTAAGGATCGAATAAACGTAAAATCGAAAGATACGATAACGTGAAAAGCATTCGGTTTGCTTCTTTTACGAACACGGTCACTTTCCGTCGCTTCGCGTCGTTATCGTATCTTTGATCTTTTGAAAGAAGCCAGGAATCGCGGGTCACGATAGAACTCTGTTTATTCGTTCGGTGAAACCGCAGCCAATGAGCTTGGACGCTGCTTCGCTTATGAGAACGCTTTTGGGAACATATAACTGAAGTTCATGCTTGAATTCGCTCTTTCGAATAATTCGAATAATTCGAATAATTCGAAAAAAAAATTCATCCAAGTGAAAATCGGTTTTTATTATTAGTTTCTTTCTTCGTACTCGTATAAATAGAATTCTATCGTATTTCGTAATCCCTAAACGCTTTCTATCGCGATCAAAGGATCGCGCGTCAATGCGCGTATATGCGTGTATGTGTGTATAATTAACGTAACACTTTTTTTCGTCTCTACGTCGTAAGCCACGTATTATGACGCGTTTTTTGTTTTCTTTTTGTACGATTCTCTTGGTTGACTTTTTTTTTTGCGGTGGCAAATTTCCAAATTTTCATGAAAAATACGATACGGCACGATCTATTTTTCTTTCCTTCCGATAGACAGACAGAATATATATGTAGGAATTTCCTTGAAATTCGAATAATTCGCGTTTGGACGAATCTCGAGAGCGGTGACCGCAACGATCGACCGACTACGTTTATCTCGAAGGAAAGACTAAATACGTATACGGCAAAATAGCGTGTTCGCGAAACGACTTTGAAAAGGTCGAACGTAAACGTTTCGGAGGAAAGTTTCGCTTTATCGGGGCCTATACGCGATGTACGCGGTGTGTCGCGTAATCGATGCTACAAGTTAGAAATCGACGATTCGAAACAAGAATCATTGATAGACGCGATGAAAGTTCGAACAAAAACGAAATTATCTGTAAAATTTTCCTCGTAAAACAAAGGAATTTTGTTCTTCCGACTTCTCTTCATATTTCGAAGCGTAAACTTTTAACTATAGTAACATCGAGAGTACGCGATACGTTTCCTATCGCTTTGTGTCGTGTGTAAAGCTGTTGTACGACGCTTGTTTTTCAGGGTTAAACGATAAGAAGGAAGAACAAGCGTAATGTAACGATTAAGTTTTAACCCTGAATGGACTTTGAACGCGCGTGGACACGTTTATAAGCTCTTTTCTCCATATTTCTCTTCGAACGCGAATAGTAAATAGGATGTAATTCGTTAACAAACTTGCAGCTCATCGTAAACTGCCCTGAGTAAGATGCCTGTCCGACCGCACAGTAGGCAAACACAAATAAATAGAGGAAAAAAATATTCAAGTAGAAAAACACGTTTTGAAAAGCACATAAAAGTTGCGTAACTGTGATTACACCACCTACGCTCTTTGGTTCGTTGTACCAAAACTGTTTTAAAGCGAGAATATAAACAAAAATTGAAAAGAAGAAAAGGAAGAAGAAAAAAAGAAAGGAAAAATCAATTTTCCAACTATGGTCGGAATTTAAAACCTTGACGGTTTTGTATTTCGTAACAAAAGAAACCGGAATATACATCGATCGAATGTACCTTCGGACGAAGCCAGAGATACACGCGATTAGGCCAAGGAAACGATAAAGGAAAAATATAAAGCGAAGCGAATCGAACCAAGTCGAATAACGAAAGCGATTGCTACTACCGTTAGGTGGACAGACGCGATAAAATGACATTTTATCGATAAAACTCTAGAAAAATACGTAACAGCAATTAACGGATGATTCTATGTAATCTAGATTCGCCGAGAAAACTTTTTTTTCCCGTTAACGCGCGTGTTCCTTGCTCTTTTGTTCGCTTTCAAGCTTTTTCAAAATTTTCTCTCTTTCTCATACATTCTCTCTCTCTCTCTCTCTCGCGCGCGCGCGCACGTTCCGTGTTTCTCTTTCTCTCCCTTTTTCTTTTACTCATTTTTACTCACTCGCCCTCTTTCTTTTCTTATTTACTTACGACGCAGGTACAATTTTTTCTGTATTTTTTTTCTTTTTTTTTTTTCGTTTTTGTTAAACTAATTTGTTTTTTGTATTTTCCTTATATACTAACTCTCTCTACAAAGTTACTGTTAAAGAGACATTTATAAAAAAAAAAGAAAAAAGAAAAATGGCCGTCGTGTAATTGTTCACCCTCTTCCCTCCCTCTCTCGACAGAACCGCGTTTCCTTTCTTGGATACACTTTACTCGCGACATTTTCGAACTTACATTCTACTACATTCTTAAAAACCTACTGAGCAAAACTATTCGTAACATGCACCAAGAGACGCGTACGCTCTTTACTCTCCTCTCTTTTTCTCGTTAGCGTTCTATTCGCATATTTCCGGTTCGGAAGAACGACCAACGATTCGGTCGACTGTTTCTCCGAACGAAAAACGAATTAACAGAAAAGAAGAGAAACTCGTTTCGATCAACGTTCCGCCCGTTTTTCGTCGTTCGTGCTACCATATTTGTTTCTCGTTTTACGGAAAGCAAGGAGAAGGAAAAGAGAATACATTAGTTGGTAAAAAAAAAAGAAAGCAAAAAAAAAGAAAATACACGTCCGCTCGAATACGCTCGACCATTTTACTTTTCTTCGCGTCCGTTTATATAGAGTGCGAGTCGGTGAACGCTATCGACCTGCATATCTTGCAAAGTTTAAAATATGGACGCTACGGAAAGAATTATACGGAAATACTGTTTTCGGAAAAGAACTATTTACGTCGTTCTATAATCGGTTTCTTATCGTGCAATTTTACGCGGCAAATTTGTTTTCTACCTTTTTTGTAACGACTTTTGTTTTTCTATTTTGTACCGACTTTCGCTCCGATATATACATTACGCGTCCGAAGAAAATCGATGCGAACGAACATATTCATATATCCCGCTCCGTTCTGCCTCTACGTACTATTACGAGTGAAAGTAGAGAAAGATTATTTAACGATGAATTAACTCGTAACATCGGACGAATATTTACATTTGCGGTCGATTACCGATGGAATGCACGCGTTAGCGAGTTTCGCGTACAGCGGCAGATACGAATAAAATAATTTTAACGAGAAAATTATGCGAGCGTGAACGAACGCTCGCTATTATAATAATTCGAACGATAAACGGTAAACGATAAACGATAAACGATAAACGATAAACGATAAACGATATACGTGCGTCGCGTATTCGTTCATACCATATAAAGAATGTAACGAATGCAACGATTCGCACGTTTTCGCGAACAGATTAAAAACTGGCGGCCGCGAGTACGAGAAAGAAAAGCGATAACGTTAAAAAATTGAAATATAAGGAACGGAAAAGAAAAGAAAAGAAAAGAAAAGAAAAGAAACGAATCGAATCGAAACGAATTTCTAATAGAAATAGAAATAGAAACAGAAATAGAGAATATTAAGCGTGACGAGATAACGCCCTCCCGAGTTCTCTTGCAATTCCGTAAAATGCAGAAAGAGAAACGTGTCCAAAGATCAATTCGTGAATCGTCAACCATCGCGTCTGTGTCGATGTGTCAATGCAAAGAATGTTCGGTGGTACGCGATCGGTCGCGGTAGTCGCGGTAAGCGAACATCGTCGACGAATAACGCGCGTTTCTTTCGAATCGCACAGATCGCGAACGCGTAAATACGAATGGCTACGCGCGCACGCTATCAAGAAAGGAGGATCTTTGTTTGTTTGGCGAAGACGTCGAAAGCGTTTCAGCCACTCGGCGAGGCGATAACCGTTTTGTTGGACTGACGTTCGAGCAGATCCGAACGCGCTTTCAAGCGACGCTGCATCAAGCGGCTCTCGCTGGGCGGTGATAAACCGAACAGTTGATGCAGCGACGTTTCCTTGCCGATCAGCCGATTTTTTCCGATGGTCTTCAAATCGGATAGATCCGTGCTCGAACGAATCGAGCAAAACTTTTGACGGGAGTTCGCGTCGAACTCGTTCGAGGAATGAGTAGGACAAAGCTTACTGTGCTCGGACAGTTCGCTGCTCGAATCGGACATGTGCCCGTAAGGATGATTATCGTCGTCGGTGGACGACGTGGACAATCTTGGTTCCCTTTTCTCCGCCAGTTCTTCGAGATTCACGGAGAAATGTTGAAGTACCACGCGATTCACAGCCATAGCCGATTCCGCGAAAGCTGACAGCTCTCTGGCGGAATTGTTCCTCCTGTGAGCAAAAAAACACGAATTCGTATTGTATCTCGTTTTCCTTTTTCGCTCGATTATTTCGAGCATCGAAATATCGGATTAGCGGAATAACCGAATATATCGGAGAGTTTATCGGAGAGTTTGTCAGAGAGAAAGACGACGAACCTGATGATATGAGGAGTCGTTAGAGATTTCTCGGTGTTTTCGACCGAGCTCGGGCCAGGATTGATCCACGGATGTTTCAGAATACTTTCGGCGCTCAACCTTTGGTGGGCTTCTTTGACCAGCAGTCCTCTGATCAGATCTTTCGCGTCCTCCGAAATGCATCTCCATTCGTTATCCGGAAATTCGTACCTGCCCTCTTGAATACTGGTGAAAAGCAGTTCCTGACAAGCTTGACAATTCTCTCCTCTTTCCCAGCCGCAATCGGAACCGCAGTTCCCGTAGAAAGGCGGATAACCGCAAAGAAGAATGTACATGATAACACCGAGACTCCACAGATCGCAACGTTTGTCGTAGTAATTCGCTTCCCCGATGAACGCTTCGACGACTTCCGGTGCCATGAAATCGGCACTGCCCACCGGGGTCAAAAGTTGCGGCGTCGCCACGGGACTGGACAACGAGTTGTTGAATTTGATGCCGGAACCAAGATCGAAATCGCAAACTTTGATAGGAGTCAATTTGTCCGGATACACGCACAAGATGTTCTCGGGTTTCAAATCTCGATGGGCAATTCCTGAGGAAAATCAGAAAATGGTATTAGAAAATTGCTAAGGGGAGGGGCGTTCAAAAAATTCACGCAACAATTTACGATTTTCGCTACCTTTTTTATGAAGAAAATTCAGCGCGCTAGCGATCTCTCGGACTATCTGACTCGCCTCCCGTTCGCTGAAATGAATCCTTTCTTGTATTCGGCTCAACAACTGACCGCCGTTAACCTTCTCGAATACGAGATAAAATTTCTCTTCGTCTTCGAAGAACTCGATCAACTGGATGATGTTTGGATGGCCCTGGCAATGATGAAACGTTTCGACCTCTTTGAATACGCGCGCCCGTGCATGCCCGGGAATTTTGTCGATAATTTTAACGGCGTACTCCAAGTCGGTGTAGAGCGACCTGCAAGTCTGAACCGAGGCGTAAGCGCCTTCTCCGAGAACTTCGCCGGTCAATCTATACAGTTCTGAAACAAGCGAAGCATATTTTCTATTCAAATAACGATACCCTCCTCTCTTTCCTCCTTTTTAAAGAAAAAACGCGCTCGACTAGAGCGACTAGAAAAGCAGAAAGTGAGAGAGCGAGAGAGAGAGAGAGAAAACCGCTAATCCGAAAATAATCGTGGTCAAAATCGCGCGTGCAAAGCGATCCAAGTTTCGTATTTCGATACACCTTTTGTTAGACGAGTGGTTTATTTTGATCGTACACTTTGTGTCTCCTTCGAGAAGGTGCACCGAAACCGAGTAGTACCACGCTCTATAGGATGCGCGTTATTCGTATTTATCCGCGCGTTTGTAGGCGCTTTCTACGAGCACCTATAATTCGCCGCGAGACAAAAACGATAACGTTCCTGCGCGACATCACGGTTTTCGATACCGTACGTAAAAATCGACGAAACTCGAGCACGCTATGCAACGCAATCAATGTTAAGGCCAAAAGCGGGACGAAAGGATCGTCAAACTACTGCGCACATAAACTCTCTCTCTCTCTCTTTCCTCCTCTTCTTCCTATTTCCCTTCTTTTCTCGCGACTCTCTCTTTTCATTCCGAGGTCTTTAAACTTCGCGTTCTCTCTCTTACCCGAGAGCCCCCCCCCCACTATTCTTCCCCTTTGATACGATGATTTCCGTTCCGTCCCATCCCAACCCGTAGCCCGTGTTCCATCTCGATTCGTCGTTAGTTCGTTCCCTCGTTGAACGTTGCAACTATCGCGCGCTGTCGTCGACGTTTCTTTCTCTTTCTCTCTTTGCCTTCCCCTCTCTTTTACTCCCTAACTCGCGATTACTCTCCCTTTAACCCCTACCATTTTACCTCGCGCCAAAGATACGTTTCTGCTTGGCAACACCGCCGAATACCTAGCAACCAGAAGCCGATAATATACTTCCATGTTTCTCTCTGTTATCCGGCTGGACGAAAACCGTGAAACCGATCCGGTTCGGTTTAATTGGACGAATCGCTCTCCGACACGCGATACGCGCGTTCCTCCTACGATACCGATCGACGCGTAATCGCGAACGATTAGACACGCCGATGATACGATGATCGCGCGCGTTCCAGTTCGCGATACGGGATAACCGTGAGAATGAGTCACGTTCGTTGTTACGCATCCGCAGCGAACGAGCAATTTCGATAAGCGATTGTGGCTCGTCGACGCTCGAAACAAAGAGTCCCCTCGATTCCGTCGCGGCACGCTTCCAATTTCGAACGCTTCGCGTTTCTTCGTCTCGCTTCGTTACACAGGAGCCGCTCGCAACAATTTCGAATACCGTTTATTTATCGATTATTTCGCGATTAAGTGTTCAGGTTGGCTTATTCGTTTTTCGGTATACGAAGGCGCTTTAACGCGCGGCCACCGTTCGGAGTAACGTCTACCGCGTCGATCGATTCGAGGATGCTGTATGCCCCCCGATTCGTCCGATTATCAAACTCCGAAGCGTAAAAGTTCCTCTTTTTTTCGTCCGGTCGTTCGAACGAAGCTTGTCGTTTAGCGCGAGCTAGACGAGAAAACTTTCGTACATGCGCGTACGAAAGTAAAATCGAGGAGAGGGCGATCGAGAGAGTAACGCGTGTATCGGCGGCGATGGCCCAGATTTAAACTCGCACGGCCGCGAATTTATCTGGTATACCATCGGAGGATACATACACCTAAGTACGGAGTGGAAGCTTCTCGAACACGAAACTCGGAGTTTACGAATCGATCGTACGATGTCGTGACGTAACGGACCAAGCCAGTGAACTCGGTCAATGATTCGTTCCGACTGCCACCGACGCGATCCTTACCGTCGCGCGTTAAACCACCTTTCTTTCTCTTCTGTTTCTTCTTACGATCGTTTCTGCGTCTCTTACGAATTTAAGATCGCGAAAAATTGTTTCGAATTCTCGACGATACACGGAGAAGCTCTTTATCGTCCATAGAACACGAACAACGGGCTAAATCAATAACGTAAATATATTTATGAAGAACGCGCGTTTACAGTAGCGGAAAAAAAAAAAAAAAAACTTTTACGAAGCCATCGGTTATTGCACCGGGTACACAGAAGTTGCGTTCGTTCCGCGCGATCGATATCGCGACCGTCTAGCGCGAGTTTCTCGAACGTTCGGAACTTGTGCAAGGTCAGATACCTAAAGCGAAATGCGAGTCATTGGAGCACGAGCCAACTCGAAACTCGTTCACGGAAACGAGCAGTTTACCAGCCGTTAACGTATCGCCGGATCTCTCGTCACCGACGACCGCTCGAACTCGCTGGACGAACTTAAACTTTCTTTCTCTCCGAAAGACATACTTCGATCGAGACGCGTTAGTACTCTGTACAGGTCGCGTAGAGACAAACAGCCCCCTTATATCGTTGGAAGAACAACATCGAGCAGAAAACGATCGTTATCGGGCGTTTCTTTCGTTCTCGTAACTTCACGCGACTCTTCGAGGATCGAATTTTACCTTGGAAACAAGAAGACATCAAGGACGAACCAGAGCGCTTCTTCCTGCGTCTCTTTCGCCTAGCTTCTTCTTGCCGAGCTTGCACCGCGCTCATAGATTCTCCCGTCGTCGTGCTCACGGTGTCCCTGCATTTTGCATCTTCTGAAACCAAAGAAAAACGAGAGTCAACGAGATTCGAAATTGCGGAGTTTCGATTAAAATCGTATGACGCTTTAATCTATTTCGAAATTCAGGGAAAAAAAAGCGAGAGATTACGTAACGATCATTTATCGAATTTATCGAATTTATCGAATATCGCTTCGTCCTCGTTCGTGTTTATTTGCGCGTAAATTTCGTAAATTCGCGGTGTTCGTTCGAGCGCAAAGGACGAAGCGTCAAGAAGGTATTACGCGGCTCGTTTCCGATATTTACCTTATCGGTGATGCACGATTACGCGCGTCGGTCGTGCGCGTTGCCTGAAAGGATGTCGGCTATCCGAATAGTCTAGCGAAATCGGATACGGAACAGCGAGACAAATCGCAGAAAACGATGGAGAAGACGGGGGTACAAAAGCTTTTCGAGGAAATAACTCGCGGAACGCATTTTGTTGAAAAAGGAAAAAAAAAAGAACGATCGTCGGAGAATAAGTGAACGCGATCGCGATTACGTGTAGTAGTAGTAGTAGTAGTAGCAGCAGTAGTAGCAGCTGACGAGTTACGGAAGAAATTCGAGCAACGTGCGATCGGCGAAGTCGCGAAGCGAGTCGATAAACCTCGAAAACAAAAAACGCTTTGTTCGCACGCATCGTACAGTCGTTCGTCGCGCACTTTTCACGCGAGATAAACGAAAGTTGATTTTCGATTCGACGCGACTTCGGGTCTCGAATCGGTGATACGCGAGGAGAACGTGTGTCAGCGGGTCTCTCGTAAAAGGAAGCGGCAAATACGACGCTCGAGTACCGAGAGCCCTGGAGTTCAATGACTGACACGGAAAAGGAACAGCCGCCATCTTATGCGAAATACTTTTTATTCGTATATGATAACGTGAACGCTGCGTACCGCGTCGTCGTCTTCGTCGTCGAAAACGAAATTCGAAAAGAAAAGCCGGGTCAGCGCTAGTATCTCGTTCCTCTTTTCGACTCTTGCGTTCGAATACCGGTGTGAAATATTTTTATTTATATATTTGTTTCCGAGTTGTCGTTCCCCGTGCGATAGCAAGATAGTTTATACGCTAATAAACCATCGAGCTCTATGCCTCGAATTTCTTTCGTTCGATTAATTTCGATGCTGATACAATTATAACTGTACGCATCGATTCGACCTATAATATCTTACCTTCGCGAGCGTATCGGAACATTGTAACCTGTCCACCCACGATGTTTCCAATTACAGCATCGAATAGGGAGGGACGAGCGAGAAATCGCGATCATTCATTTTTCTCTATTTTACTCGACATCGATTATGTTTTCTTCGAAACCGATCGCGATCGTTAACTACCAACCATCATCGTTTTCCTCTTCGACCCGTTGGAACTTTCGAGTACCGAGAGTGCTCCGTGGTTCGACGTTTGAAACGTCGAACGCGCAACCCCCTTTTGTCCTTCGAAACGAACCGTTCCGTTCCCTTTAAAACGCAGGGGAGCCCATAATGAACCGACATACGCGAGAGTCCTTTTTTCTCTTTCTCTCTCTCTCTCACTCTCACTCTCTCTTTCTCTCTCCTTTCCACCACCCGTTTCCTGGTCCAATCTTTTGTCAGGTTGCCCTTACCGACGCCCTTCTGGATTTGCGTCGCCGAATCCGAACGTACCGACTAACCCACTTCGACCCTCGAAAATAATTCAACGGCGCGTGCTGAGTTGTGGAATCACGTATACTATACTAGCCGTTGACGCCGCTTCGTCTCTTCGCACCACAAGCCACACACTATACCGCGCGCGATAGCCACGTATCCTGCGCGTTCCTCTTTTCTCTCTCGTCTTCCTCTTTCCCATGCGTTTCTGCCTGTTTTCATCGAAACCTTCCGAAATATTTTCGTCTTTCGTTTTTCAGGTATCCGGCTATCCGGGCTAACTTTGCGACGAAAAAAGTATCCAGTCAAAATACGAAATCATTCACGTTCGCGGGAAACTCTTTCGGACAATGTTGGAAACATGCTTGAACAAAACGATCGTGTCGCGAAAGCGTTTCCTCTGATCAGCGATAATTTCTCCGATATCGCCACCGTTATCGTTCTTCCGGTCGCGATTCATCGAGCGTATCGGAAGCCACCGAACGTAAGATCGAATTTAAACCGGTAACAAACGCGATCAGTACGAGTTTTAAATCGTACCGAAAACGCCGACAACAATTTATTTATCGATCGATCGATCGTTTGAACAGGATCGAAACGAAAACCGTTGTTCGTAAGCGAAACTCGAAGCTTCCAGCGGAGAGCGTTGGCAACGTGTACCGGCTTCTAGAAAGTTCTTCCGTCAACCGACTCCGATCGTCGCGTTCTCCGCTTCTTTGCCGCTATCGATATAGCTTAGCTATATTTTTCAAATTCATCGCGATCGACGATATCGGTAAAACACCTTTCGTAAATTTGCCTTTCGTTCAGCTAATCGAATCGTTCGATCGGTACTTGGTCGTCGTTCGAAAGACTGATTCCGAAAGACGGATTCCGCGTTCGAAACGGCACGGTTTTCGCGTACGTGAATAGAATTTGATCGAGAGAAAGTACGAAGAAAACTCGAATCTAACATACACGATCGTAAACGATCAACGGTACCGGTACAGATCGCGAAAATACTCGCGAAAATACTCGCGAAAATACTCGCGAACAACGGTTTCGGCTTTCGAGTCGTTCTCTGAATATCGCGCGATTCGAATAAATAAAAATTAACTTGACTCTCTTACCTCTTCCGGCCTCCTGACATCCGTCTTCTCGTTCTTCCAGGATTTTCTCCACCATTTTTGGGCGCGACAACGTTGCTCGTTCAATGTTCGGAAAAGTAGCAAAAAACGAAGCTTTTCTCCCGTCGAAACGAACCTCGTTCTTCTAATCTTTTACTTTGTCTCTCTCTCTCTCTTATCGTTTAAAGAACAAGGATGAAACACGCTCTCGTACTCCGTTATCGATAATTGTAAAAAAGAGTCAGTCGTATTTACAAAAACATCTATATCCACTAATGTACTGATATAATCTTCTGTCCCGCGGTCTCGATTTTCCAACCTCGTCCAATTCGATACACAATTTTCGCCTGTTCGTTTCTTTCCGTTTCGCTCGATCGTTCCTCCTCTCTCTCTTTACCGACGTACTCTCCCGGGATAGTTCGACGTATATCAGTGTCGGTATCACAGATATAAATAAATATATAAAGGCTATCTACTCCTTTCTCTTCCTCTAATTCTCGCGATGTATCCAAATCGACGAACGACGTTGCGGCACAACGTCGCTGTTTGGATCTTTTCGAATAAATACTATCACAGACTATGACACTGCACTCTTCCTTTCTTTTCGTCTCGACCGTTCGCTTTTTTCACTCGTCAGCCCGTTCCTTGTTTCCGGGAACGACTTTAGCGGAAAATCGCGATTTTCCACTGTCCTCGTTCTTCGTTCGATCCAACGATGTTACACGCACCAGCAGCGAACGAACCTTCGCGAGAATTTCAATCTCTGCGCGACTCCTCCACCGACGAAATTTCGTCTACCTCCGCTTCCACGAATCCTCTCCTGCACCGAGGCTTCTCGCCGGTTAAACCGGAATCTCTCCGTACGTGAAAATCTCTGGATGGTCGCTGTTCCGTTGCGGTATCGCACAGCCTCTCGCACGTAGCGGTAACCGGGCTCGGAAGCGCATTAAAAATCCTTCGGCTAACGCATCGGGTCTTCTCGTTTACCTTCCCTCACTGCTCGGCAGTTGGTTTCCGACTGAGCCTCCCAAGATGGCCGCTTCTGCTTACTAACCTTACTAACAGCCCCACCGCTCTCTGCGCCGCCTGTTTCTCGACGAATCGACGCCACTCCCCCACCTTCAGTCTATATCCACGGTCCGTGCAACCTCCTTCCCCTTGACACCCTCCTTGTCTTTCCGCTGCTTCTACGTAAACCGCCGGTCGACTTCGTTGACGCCCTTTGAAACAGCGCGCCGTGTCACGTAGCTCCGAACTCAGCGGTTCTTGGCGCGAGCGGCGACGAGCGGCAACGAGCGAACGATGATGCACGCCGCACCGCCGCGTTATTATCGAATCGTATGATGCAAGTTTTACGACGACTTGCGATCACGAGATTTCCGATCGACTCGAGCCCGTGTCGTTCACCGATTGAACGGAATTCAATTTCCTCGCTCGGACAAAGATCGTTAAACGTCCTATCGGCAATTTCCTATTTTTCCTATTTTTCCTATTTTTCCTATTATTCCTATTTTTTCCGATTTTTATTCTATCACCGGTGTTCTGTTAATTCTTCGAATAAGATCAACCTTGATCGCGTTTATTTGCGCATCTCGTATCTCGACGCGTGAGAATCACTGGTCGCTCACGCGCGTTTCAGACCGCGTTGCCGGTAAAAATGCCATTCGATTTAACGAAAATTCGAAGCGAAACGCGTTATCGAGTCGAATCTTCGAATGAAATACTCGCGATGTTTACATCTAGCATCATTTATACTCGCGTTACGGAGGAACAGAGCCAGATAAACAACGGGAAGTGACGCCGGCAGTCGTGCCGTGCGTTGTTTTGGAAAGAGATGCGCGCGCACAATGGCTACCGGCCACGTACGACATCACGCGATACGCGAGAAAGACGGAGCACGAACTCGCGTGCGCGCGCGTGGAAAAGAGCGCGACGAGAGGACGGGACGAGGGGGCGATGGGACGTTGGGACGACGGGTACGAGGCGAGAGGACAAAGAACGGAGCCGAGAAAGGAGAAACGAAAGAGGATAGACGAAACATCGTTTAGGCTTCTCTGGTCGCGTCGGGCACGTACACCCGTACGGGCGCAGCCGTATGGTCTTCGTAGCGATACAGCGAACGTCGTAAAACTCGTGAAACGACGCGGAACATGGTAAATAGGAGCGCCTCTAACCGACCGTTTAGGGCTTGGACGAAGACCACGCGAGGGAAGGTTTCGCAGAGCGTAGATACCTGCTTCGTAAAACGTACGGCGACAAACAGCTACGGAGAAAAGGGAAACGGGATCTATGTATGATTCGCGATCTCGCTGTATCGCCGCAGAGACTATACTAAAAGCTTAGCTCGGTTTACGCGCAGGCTCGTGTCAGCCATCGAGGTTGTTTTCAATCGCTCGACACCGCGTGAACTTGTTGTCCGTATAATTGGCACGGTATTGCGTTGTAAGTTTATTAGCCGTGTTATTATTACGTAAGGTTATATACCTCGATTGTTTACCTCGTCGTACGAGTCACGTTTTCCATTGTCGAATTTCCATTGTCGAGCTAAGAGGAATTCGGACGAATCCCCCTCCTCTAGGCTATATTTCGAAATTAAGATACTGCCGAAGGAAACTTTACCCCGGGCTTTCCGTTAATTATCGTGATTCGGAATTTCGGACGATACGACGGTATCTTTGTAAACGGTCGGTCTCTTCCGATGTTATGATCGTCGTTGCATCATCCTCGTGTACGTGCGATAATCGCGCGTACGCGATGCGCGCGTCGCTGTAACAAGGTTTCGACAAAATAACGAAAGATCGACGCTCGATGATCGAAAGAAAGAACTGCGTCGAACGCGATAGTTTTCAACGATCAACGATAAAACGTTCAATTATTTTGAATAACGAATAATTTCACTGTTTTCCCGTGAAAATTTACCGGTCCTGAAATCGTTCGTGCGTTTACGGATGGAAATGTTCAATGTCCTACGTTCTACGAAAGTTAGATCGATCGATAGACTCGGAATCGGTGTGTTCTTACCGTGAGAACGCGGGAGATTTCTCGTTAAAACTAAGGAAAATTTAAAAGCGTGTTCGGTCGTACAAAATAATAGACGGTGCAAACCGGTTTCTGCACGTGGCAGTGGCCGCTTGGATCGCGCCCGGTAAACCGGCAGCACCCACCTACGATACCGTCGATCGACGTAACTTTCTTCCACTTTCGAGATACTCTTTCCAAACCTACGATATTTTTCATCCTCGAAACAAGATACATTCAGGCTGAACGTAACAATAACGGAGATTAGACGATATAGAGAAAGCAAAAGGCAGCGAAGACTCGAAGGGTTAAATTCGGAGGGTAAACATTACGGAAAGATCGAAGATTAAAGGTTGGTAGAGTAGGAAAAAATTTTGAAGCGATTTAGAGGCAGCGGAAGAGGCGGATGAAGCGAGAGACCGACGAGGACGACGCAGGTGGCAAGTAAGAACGCGTAATTTCTGGAAAGCAAAGGGCGATAATGTAAAATAGTCTAACGAACGTAATACACGATAGGTGGGTTCGTTATCTTCGGTTATATCCGTTGTACGCGTTTAGGACTCGCCTCTTTAAACGCTTGCTTTTTCAGCCTTTTTCAGCCTTTTTCAGCCTTTTTCAGCGTATATCTTTCGATCGGTCGATACGTTCTAGATATAACCACGTACTTGGATTATTTCGTTTACTTCGTCCAACATCGATGGTTGAAATTCTCTATTGAAGTTTTCCGTCGTGCGCGTATGCCTCGCTAGTTATACGAGCCTAATTAGTAGATACGATCGCTTAGTCTCGAATCAATTGGACGAAATTTGTCACGAGGTGCGCGCAATGATTATCGCGTAGCATTCGTTGATAGGCTAACGTTCCTAGAAGTTTGAATAGTCACGAGACGAGTCGCACGAAGTTTATCGCGTTAATTGCGTCACCTTTATAAGCGACATCAACAGAAGATCCGAATACGTTCATTTCAACGAATCATCGTTGTTGTTCGAGCGCTGCTGACTAAATACAGTTACTCGATCTTCGGAAAAATAAAAATCACGATGACACTGATATTCGCGAAGAGCGAGTCGAATAGGTGATAATCGGTGGAGGTCATCGTCGAATTTCGAGAAAAGAAATTTCGTTTCGAGAGATTCGTCGACGCCCCGTAAATCGTGCGTATTCGTCGCGAATTAAAAGAAAACCGATCATCAGTGTGCGAGAACGGTACGCGTTACGTAATGCGCCGCTCGGAAGACTGTTCGTAGGCGAACGACTCTCCCGTCTTTCAGTGTTTTAACGACCGTTTATTCGCGGTACAAATATGTATGTATCGCGTTAGAAAATATTCGAGTTTGTATAAATGCGAAGGAGGCGCAAGCGAGCCACATGCGTTTTATCAGGGTGTTTTCCTTGTCGCGGGCGAAACTTTTTCGAGGCTAAAAGGACAACGAATGCGAAGGGCCATGTGGTCAATGTTTTGCCGAGGAGGCGAATTCTTCTTCTCACCGCGGACGTGGATATACGATTTTACTTGTAACAGCGTATACGGTACAGCTTATTCGTCGAGAATGTTTATGTTTTCTGAAAAATTCCAAATTCTTGCAACATTTACCTTCCTTAACAATCTAGGACTGCCGACTGTTATTTCTTTCGATCGATTTTCAAGCGAGTTCAAACCCTGAAAAATTCGTTGACTTTACGATACGTCGGTCGTTATCCATGGTCGAGGACAAATCGTTTACATTTGGGATCGAAGTCGCGTTAGAGTTTTTGCCTCTTTCCTGTAAGCGTACTGTAAGCTTACCGTGAGCGTACGGTTAAAGTCGCTAAGAATAAGGGGCATAAAATTGATATTATCGGAAAGCGAAAAAGACGTGTCCCTGTTATAAATCCAACTGTTATTGCCAACAGCTGTTAGACAGAACCACTGAACATGACTCGCCCTTCCCTAGCAGCTACCTAAAAACTCCAAGTACGTGTCTGTAAGATGCCTAAAATCCAACTAAATATGCCGGGTGGTCACGGTTCAGACGCAAACGGGAAATAATAAAAGGCGTACTACAAGGTGATTCCGCAAAGCGTACGGATCAACTCTAATAAAAACTCCACAGTTTGTTCGGTAACGTGGACGAAAGGTTATTCCTTTCTTATTGGGGAAAAATAATAGGCTGTTCGGTATCGCGTAAAAATCCGCGTTCGAAAAGCAGAAAGAGGCTCCGTGTCGATCGGATTACGAAGAATCTCGTACGAGCGACGATGGAGCGTAATGGTCGATCAGAAGGGTTACCGTTAGCTACGCGAAAGAACACGTATACCTAGCGGGTCGTTTCGGAAAGGTAGAAAATTATCAAAATTATCAAAATTATAAAAATTATCAAAATTACGGTATTTGTACCAGGGTGAATATTTGTATAGCGTGGAATAGAAGAAAAATCGAGTCTTTTCTTTTTCGGTTCCCGAAGATTCGACGTAGAAAGGTGAATCGCGATACTTTCGGCAAGTAATGTTTTTTTTTCTTCGAGTATCGGCTTTGGGTAATGGAGCGGAGATAGATCGCGTTCGATCGCCGCGCCGTCGATCTGGACAGACACGAATTCACACCGTGCGCGCGTGGATCCACGCGATCCAAGGTCAAATAATAAGACGCGCACAAGTTTCTCCTTGCTCAATGTCTTCCGCGTGTGCCCGTTGTCGGACGATTCTTTTATCGCTGTCGAGTTTCGTGGAAGTGGAAGACCTTCAACGCCGTATTCTTGTTCCCTTCGCGAAAAAATATCTATTCGGCGTGCATAGAAATTAATGGAAGTTCCATTGGAGCTCGCGAGAGTTGTATCGGAAAATTTCAACGAGACTCCAGTTTCGTTATCGAACTACGTTCGCGGATCGTGATTTTTTTTTCTTTTCGATCGTTCGTTGCCGGTCACTTCGAGGAGTTTCGAAAAGAAGAAAAGATACGCGGGATAGATAGATGGCGGCGTAGCAAGGAACGGGGAGGCGTGTTTACTTCTCGTAGATACGTAATTCGTTATTTTCTCTCGTAAGTGGATAAGATCGGAGATAAGATCGGGGATAAGAAGGAGGAGATAACGCGCGAGAAATCGGAATTTCGCGACGTCGTATCGCTCGATAAACGCGAGATTAATCTCGCATCAAAACATATATCGTTATCGTTGTTTTCTAATGTTCACAATCATCTTGACTATTTATTCCGTAACCATGACGCGTAGATAGACTCGATGGGCTCGAATTTGTAGGCGAATTCGCGGTAGCTCGTCGAACGGGCTCTTTCACCGACGTACACTGACCTCTCCAGAATTCGTCCACCGTGCCACGGTGCTTATTTCTAGATATCGCGCGAATTCAAGGTCAATTAATGAACACCTTTGACCGTCGTGGACGATCGGTTTCGAAACAGGATCGACGGAAACGATCGCGATCGATCAAAATATTACAGTAATTAGATAGATATTGGGTTCGAAGAGGAGGAAAATGAAAATGATCGTAGCGCGTAGAATTATCGGTCGGACGGTCGAACGGTAGCTGACCTAGTGCAGCTCGAGTAAGTACATTGACGTATACACGAGTATGAACTGTTGTAACGGCAGACGGTGAAAAGAGTTGATTTCGGGAGGCAAAGCCGATTTCGAAACGAACCGGTCATCGGCACACGCTGGGTCGGAAAAGAGATCGCGATTCTTCGAAAAACTATCGAATATTTACTTGGTGTTACCGCATACCGATATACATACATCGTTATTTAAAACGTAGATGTATCGCGGATGATCCGTTCGGTAGACTAAATAAATCCCGAGGAACGTGAATTTCATTGAAAAGGATACCGTTAGCGTTACTACTTGTCACGGTACGTTATCGTTATCGAGAAATTTCTAAATAAACCGTAGATATTATCTGAAAGGTAAAATAAGTGTTCGCTTCGGATACGATCGTTTGAAACGTTGTTTCTTCATTGTCGTCGGCCTTTCAACATTTTTTAATCATGATTTTACGATCGAATTTAATTGTTGTAAAGCGTTCGAAAAACGGTGCGCGCGTGTCGCGGCAACAGGGAACGTACTCCGTATATCCCGCGAGACGATATTTATAACGATACGTTAAGCACGGGAATCGTGCCAGTCGCGTAAAAACGATTTGGACCCGTTTCGAACGCCAACGCGACAATTTACCGTTTCTCGTTACAAAGTTACAAGAAAAGAACACAACGTTATTTCCTATTTTTACCGACGTCTCGTCGCGTACATTACCGTATAGTTTCGTAACAGGATTTTTTCACGATCATCGATATTTACTCTTACGAATGATCTTCAGGGAAGTAAAACATACTTTTCGGGAGAAGCGGTTTATATTTACGCGCGTCCGATTTTTCGATTCGATGTACGTTAAAGGAGGTAGGCATTTTAAAAAAAATCGAACATTACCGGTACGATTAGGACAACTCTATCGATAACGTTATCTTAACGCTCGACTATAGTTAGCGCGTTATGCATCGTGCAGCGCATTTCCTTAGTTATTTCGAGACGCGGTTTCGTCGTTTTGCTGGCTCTATCGTGGATAAACAAACATCGTCTTACGAGCGATAAAAAGTTGCCATATAGATGCGAAAATTACGAGCGAGAATGACTACGACGACGACGTCAACGGATTCGAAGATTATCTCGCTTTGGTTTCGATCGATTCGGATCAGTGTGACGAGTTTCGTATCTACGCTTGAATCGGATCGAACGAACGATTCATTATTACAGAATCGAAACACGAGATTTCTTAAGACGATGAAAACTTTGCTTGTCGCTTTTACAATATATGTATATGTATAAAATATGTATACATATGCAGGTAACTACGATTTATAGAAGGTCGTAAAATTGCGCGGAAGCGTGGATCCTGCATCCTCGGCCAGATAAGTACGTATCCTCGACTCTCGAATACGCGACCGTAATCGCTCGGTCGTCGTTTCTCGTGTCACCGCGCGGTGCGACCGTCGCGAGATCAGTCGATTCTTTCCTACCTTAGTTTTACAGTTTACGGATACGTATCGTGTTCCGAGTGCTCGCAGAAAATGTTAACGAACCAAAGCGTACACACTCCGATAACGAAAGTAACGCGTCGAAACAGAATTTACGACTAACGAGGCGGCTTGAAAAATTCTATATATGTATATGTTATACGCGGAGAAATTATCGACAGGAAATATCGAAAAATCCAATAGACAAAAAGGTAGAAAGGAGAATTTGTCGAATACGGTATGAGCGCGGTAGATTTAACGAAAGGACTTTGTATCGCGTACCGTCCGATTCGTTTCAGCGAATGCTATCGTATCGTGAAAATGAAAAATACGATGCAGCGAAAAATCTATTCGATTTCGGAAGCTTTCTCGTAAAGGACTCTTCCTCTTCGTAAGCCACGCGAACGTGTCCGGTGAAAGATATCGTTCGCCGTACGCGTTAGAAAAATTGATGTCTTCTAACTAACTGGTTGTTTACGAAACGCGAGCGACATCGGCTCGCCATTCTATCGTTTTAGGCCTGGCAATAATAATTATTGTACGAACGAACGCGTGACAAACGATAACGGGACGAAATTGCGCGTTTTACATTTTTCTTTTATCGTCTGTTCTATTGTCCGTTTCAGCTGTTCCAACTAACCGATCCAATTAACGAGATACCCGCATGGAAACATTCGTTCTTTGAAATTTCTCGTACCGAAAGTCAACGATAAAACTCGTTCCGTTCGGAGGCGCTAGGGTAAGTTGCGCTAGGGTATTGGACGCGAAAGCGAGACAGCTAACGAGCTAACCGCTTTTGCGGAATTACCTTACAAATCCAATTAGTCTCGTAACTAATTTTTTTTCTTTCGATGATTCATAAGCGGTTGACTCAGCGACGACGGATCGCGCGTATAACGCCGGCGCTACGAAGAAACGGCAAAAACGCAACGCGGTGGGGATGGCGCCTCGATGCAACCGAACAAAACCGAATCGTAGAAAAAATAATTAGCTTAGCTTCGGTAGATCCGTACGTTTATGTAATTTTACTCGATAACCGCTATATACCCGACGATTTCTTTATCGTATCTCGGTGAAAATTTATTAGCGAAACACGAACGAGTGGCGTGTGCGCCGGTGAACTACGATTACGCGCGCGTTCGCACGTTTTCGAAAGCTAATACGTACGCGCAAATAAATTCTCGAACGGACCGCGTCACCGTTACGAGTGCACCGATACGATAGGCACGCGTTACGAGACGACCATGACCATCTCCTTCGTTTTCCTACGATCAAAGTCGTCGCGATCGAACGCGAACGATAGTTTCTCGAACGTTCGATTACCTGCAACCGCAACGCGACGTCGCTTTACCGTAGAAAGCGAACTTTTCTTCTTTTTTTACCAAGCTTGCCGATCGTATTTGTGCTCGTAACGTGTACCGAGCGAACGAATACTTTTGAAATTTAGCTGTTGCCGGGGTGAACCATGCCAGAAGAAACCTATCAAATACGAGTTGTCTGATGCGCAGTTGCGTCGTCACTCGTTTAACCTATTGGCAGGAAAGAAAATTTTCGACCGATTTCGTTTTCCTCTTTCGCCGAATCGACGAGTTCGATTTTAACCTCTTATCTTGTAAATACTTATCCTGTAAAGCGGTCCTCTCGTGCGTTCTTCGGACTACCTGCCTAGCGATATCTTTATCACCGTTTATTTCGTTTCGCGAGAGCCCTTCGATTCCATGCGAGTCGGTAACGGTTTTCTTTTTTCTCCGATCTTTTTATTCCGAATAAAATTGCGATCAAAGCAGGAAAAGTAAAAGTACGATACCTATTCGATTCGATAGCGGATTCACCGCGTCAACCCCCGTTCCTTTCTCTTCCGTATGCCCTATATGTATAATCTCCCAACGCGACACGCTCTCCTTTTTCATCGGTCTGACTACATTATCATTATACGCGATTGTTTCGTTACGAACGCGTATATACCTGTACGATAAGTCCGAGAGAAACAGAAAATAACTTCTCTTCGCTTTAACGTTTCGGAAGAAGAGTTTAGCCAAGTTTTCCTCGATCGATTCGTGTCTGCTGTTTCAATGACGGCGTAAAGTCGAAACACGTGGTCATTATCCTCCCGTCGCGTCGGCCAGATTTTCTGAATAACGTTCGAGATTTATTTCTACTAACGTTTCTGTCCTGCGAACATTTCGTTCCAACGACACGCTCGAGGAAACGAACGTTGTAAATCGCTACATATCTAGCTAAATCGTATAATCGTGAAAACATTTAAGGAAACGTTATATTCTCTTTCTTGGTTGGTTTAACCTCCTACGAATCGATCGTTGCTTAGTTCGATGAAAATAATGGAAAAATATCGGTTTAGCGCGTAAACGAAGAACGATTTGCGCTTTGTACGACGATACTATCCGCGTCTTCGCGTTCGACGCGCTCGTAAGAAATTTCAAATGTTCCGGTAATTGCCAACGATCTCGCGTTCGATTCTGTTTTCGTCGAAAAGCATATTTTTGTTCATCGATCGAATCTCTGGTCCCGTCATGGTCCAGTAATTGGCACAGAGATTTAATTGGCGCGGACGTTTTTATCGGTACAAGTTGCCAGGAGAATCGTCGACGACGATACTCTGACCATCCGCAATATTTTCTCGGTTGACGCGCGATTCTCCTTCTCCTTTAACCTTCTCCTTCCTCTTCCCTCCCTTGATGCACCGTCACTCCTCAGAATAGTAACCGCGCGTAGAGCACGCTAGTTGTTTATGTTCACGCGTTTACCTACGTCTACTTGCACGCATCGATCAAAATCAGAGATATGCCCTCTTTCTCGCCTACGAAACCGCGTTCGTTTTCTTCGATTTACCTACATCCTATATCTTATTCTTTTTACCGTTTGCAACGATCTCTCGTTAAAGGAAAATCGCGGACGCGAGCAACTTTGCCATTAACCTTGTTCGTTTATTGTTCGCGAATACCTTGACGCGTCGAATATTCCGTTTCCGGAAAATAACAGCCGATTAATGTTGACACTGAATCCTATTACCTACGTTACGCGTTATAATGTACCGCGTAGTAGAGTCGACGCTTTCAAGGCGATACAAGGAGACGGGAACCTAACCAGAGACTTTTGCTTTTTCTTCTCTCTATGCTCCATCTGTGTATAGCCAGAAAATAAACTATGGCGGTGCACGACTTTTGCGCCACTGACACACGACTTTAAACTCGGCGACCTCGCGGTACACATGCCGCGTATCACGTATCGCGTACTTTTCATCGTTAACCATTATTATTGTATTCTCTACGATATGTCGATTCTTTCAAATATGCCAGAAACAATCGACAGATGCTTGCTTTGTCGTTTGCGAAAATTACCAGTTATTAAAGTTTCAATTGATCGCGTACGCCTGCACTTAATTAGAGGTTAATACGTCTTTTACGCGGTTCAACCGGGAACCGTTTAATCGACTCGTTATTTGTATCTCGCCTTATACATATTTCAATGTCGATTATCCTACATTTTTCCCTCTCGAGTCCTCGAAACGTTTCGACGACGCCATCTATGGACTAACGCGTACGTAACGATTTCACGAATGTGCCGCGTTAATTGATCGGAGAGCACCGATTTCGTTCGAGAACGAACTTATAGCCATTAGATTTTCTTCGTCCCGCAGATTTCGTAATGCTCTATCGGGTATACGCGAACGTTCCTATCATTACGTTTTATGCTCGACGAATGAGCTTCTGTTCGTTTAACTGCTCGATTCTATCGAGAAATTAGCAATAAACACGCGTTCGATCACGTAATAAAAATTAATTGTACAAGGAATATTCGAAAGAAAACCGTTAAAAATAGCAGCGTTAAAGCCAGCTCCTAGTGTGGCGTACGTGCTGGGATTCAGGTATTCGACCCTGACCGACTTTCGTGTCTTCGACCAGCGTACACTGTACTCTACCCTCGTACCCCTTCTCCCTGCATTTCCTTCTTTTCTTGCATCGCTCAAAGCGTTTATAATACCGGAAAGATATCCTTTGCTCGTTATTCTGCTTTCGTTTTCGAACAGTAATTAATCATTTTTACGATCTAATACAATACACACTGTATTACGACCAGTCCACGATATAATACGATACACGAATCTATAAATATGTATGTAGGCACATGCTTCCGAATTTTTCTATTAATCGATTATATTTTTAACGTTATTGTTTTTTTCCGCTTGCTATTGTTCAACTCAACAAGATATTTTATTGATTTTATTTTTTTCTTGATTCTATATCGATTTAGTAATATCGTGAACCGTGGTCGACTTTACTAAACTATCGGTACCATCGATAGTACCGTATATCGATACTTTCGATATACCGCTGCGAATACCCTGTGTAGAGGTTATGTACGTTTATGTATAACCTAGCGAATCGACGTGTCTCCGGATTTTCCATTTTTGTCAGGTAAATGTAATCGTTGTACGACAGTCGGTGTAGTTTTCTTCGTTTTAAAAAGGACGAAAAATGAATTAGATATTATCGAACATTCAGTGAAATAGTAATTTAGTGGAGAAAAATACGATAATCGTCGATGTCGTTTTGTACATTTTAGTGATCGGTCATGTATATCTCGGGAATCAGAAGGTGGTTGTTCCAATTAAATTCGGAACAAGTTAATCATGTTTCAAGATTTCGATGTCCCAAGCGAAAGGGTTTGTACAGGAACATTCAGTCTAAAGTGGATCCAAAGGTCGTAGCTCTACGCGAAAAAATATTATATTGTGATCATCTGGATCTTGATAAAGTGCGAATGGGACATAAAATGCGTTTAAGGCAAACCCAAATGGAAAAGAAACAGAAAGAAAAAGTACAGTTTCATAAATTGACATACGAGCCTATATTTAGCGTTATGCTCGATAACGAAATGCAAGAAGAAAGTAAGGAAGAATCGCGTCGAGCGAAATTAGAAAATAATACGAGCATAGATATCGAGAAACAGGCCAAGTCTCCGTATATGCCGTACGCGACAACAGCCTCTTACGAAATTATTAACGATGATAAGTTTGAAAAATATGTACAATTACAAGAGAGATATTTAGAAATGAGTGGGAGCGGCTCGGAGGCTAAAAATTCGCTGCATGGGAAAGCGAATAACGATAACGATCGGTACGCCGCGTTACCAGAAGGAGAGCTGTGGAAAGTTCCAAAGTCTTGGATGTTCGATTACGAACAATACGACGAGACTCCGATCGACGCGACATGGTACAAAAGTTACGGTACACCGGACCCTGCTTCTCCAGTTAGCTCTGTACCTTGTGGCGGATGCGGCGCGTTATTGCATTGTAAAGATGCAAAGATTCCGGGATATCTACCGTCAGAATTGTTCTCGAATCAAGCAGAAGAGGATTTGAAACTAACCATTTGTCAAAGATGTCACTTCTTAAAGTTTTATAAGGCAGCATTAAAAGTCAACGTGTCGATAGAAGATTATCCGAAGCTATTGAAAGTAATTAAAAGAAAAAAATGTGCCATAATTTTGGTAGTAGATCTGACCGATTTTCCTTGCAGTATCTGGCCAGATTTGAAAAGCATCATGCACCCTTTTACCCCCATCTTTTTAGTCGGCAACAAGGTGGACGCGTTACCCAGAGATCGATCTACCGAGGTGTTTCTGACTCGTATCAAGCAATTATTAGCGGACACGGTCGTTGACATAACTGGAATATCGAAAAAAAACATTATGCACGTGGAAATTATATCCGCTTTGACCAAATTCGGTATAGAACAGCTTATAAACAAGTTACAATATAAATGGTCGGTCAGAGGTAGGTGATACGTGTTTATTAGCAATATATTTGTTATACGAACATAGTAGACCCGATGGATGGGTATTGGTAATGTCTTGGGAATTTCAGGTGACGTTTATTTGGTCGGGTGTACGAACGTTGGAAAGTCCACTTTATTCAATGTTTTATTGAACTCGGATTACTGTAAAGTACAAGCGATTGATCTTATACCGCGGTCAACCGTATCTCCTTGGCCTGGAACAACGTTAAATTTATTGAAATTTCCACTTTTAAACATGAATAGCGAACGATGCGAGTTAAGAACGAGAAGACTGATGAGGGAACAACCGCTAAAACAGGAATTGATGAAATACAGAAACGAAGAGTTTAAGCGAACGAGAAAAATCAAGTACGCGACTTTGAAAGGTATTTGAAAGTCGAAATGTTTTCTCCGGTTATGATCGACCGACACAGGAAATTTTCATTGAAACGATTTGTTGCATATTCGTAACGCGAAGGACACGTTGGACGAACGTTTAGCGCGAACTCCACGGCAAACGAGCCGTTCGATTCTTTCGTGGAGAAATCGCACAAGTTTATGAGTACGAAGCCCACGTTCGACGAGTCCGCGCCAGAGTACAAAGAAAGCCGATGGTGTTACGATACGCCGGGTACAGTACAAACGGACCAAATATTAGATTTACTAACGACAGACGAGCTGATGTTAACCTTACCAAAAGTCACCGTATTACCGAGAACGTTTGATTTTAAACCGCAACACACCGTATTCGTGGCTGGTCTAGGAAGATTAGACTACGTAGACGGCAGACGTCTTATTCGGTATTCGATTTATATCTGGCATTAATCGGAAAGAGAGAGACGAGCAACAAGAGCGAATTTCCAAGTAATCGTGTATTCCTTTGAAATAGATGCACCCTGTTTACGAGCAACGAATTACCTATAACGATATGTTACACGGACGTTGCGGACGAGGTGTACGATCAATTGTTGGAAACCGAAGCTTTCGTTGTACCTAGCAACGAACCAGAACGGTTAAGAGTTTGGCCAAAATTGGAGTCGAAAGAATACGAAGTTACCGGCATCTATAAGGAATCCGCCGCTGACATCGTGTTATCGAACGCGGGTAAGTTTTACGAGCGAGAGACGCGAGGATGAGGGAAAATCAAAACGATAAAAAATATAATATCGTTTAGGTTGGATCGCTATCACGCCAGCAAAGAACGAGAAGGTCGTATTGAGAGCGTGGACGCCACAGGGCCGTGGCATACATTTAAGGAGGCCGGCACTGTTGAGTAAATCCGTGCATTTTCGAGGATGCAGGATACCGAATACACCGTTGTATACACTAGGACGACAAGCGTACGGCTCCAAGTAAATTGGAGCAATTTTTCTACGTATTGGTAATTTATTGATTTCCTCGAAGTTACACATAGACATTGTCGACGAGGCGTTGCGCAATTTTTAAAATACATTGGCTTCTTGAGCTCGACGTCTCGCTTGTTTGTGCATTCGCTTGTAAAACCGTTCCAAATTTGTATAAAAACCGTGGTTCGCTTCGTCTCGAGGTTGCAGATGAAAATCATAATATTCTGAAATACTAAAATGTTTGTTAGAAAGAACGTTGTACGTTGCGTTATTTATTTGCCTTAACACTTGAGGAAACACGTACTTGTTCGGCCTGCAATTCTTGTCCAGGCCACGCGGCTTTCCCTCCGGGTCCAGAGGGTATCGATCTCTCGAGCATTGTCTGCAATGGAGAAACGTCCGAAGCGTTTAAAGGGAATATCGCGCATCGTACGAGTAGAAAAACTTACGCGGTGACCGAAACGAAATCATCGTCCTTCGTGGGTGTGTAACAAGGAGAATCGGCGAAAAAACATTGGCGAGTTTCAACGTCTTTCAGGCTGTTCCGTTTGCATTCGTCGACGATAGGCTCGCGTTCGCAAGAAAAATAACATTTGTACTTGGAACAGACAGGACAGCCGTCGAAGATGTGCAGATTATCGCAAACGGCGGAAAGACGATGGTTTTTTTTCCCAGTGGCGAGGAACTCGCATCGACGATTCGAGTTCTCTCGCGGCGGATGATAGCACTCGTTGCTTCGAGGTTCTTCACCTTGATACGAGTTTTCAAGGTTACTCGACTCGTACCTCGTACTGCGAAAACGTTTACGCTCGATACTTGTTTGCGACACTCTTTGCACTTCGCTATCGGTACTCACGAACGGTAAATTGGAAGCCTGCTGGTTTTTGCTCGACTGTGACAGACCCTTCTCTGCCTGATGATACCTTTGGCGGGTCGTTTTCTGTGCGCGCAGCTACGCTGTTGACATAGCGCGAAAGCGAACAGGAGAGAAGATTCGTGGAGCAAACGAAGACGGGGAGGGGGGGAAGGTTCGAAAAGCGTGTAAGGGACCGTGATACGCAACAAGTCGTCCCCGAGACGGTAGAGAAGGCTGTTACGTTTCCTTCGAGAACACTTGTTGCGCTCTCGGGTCGCGTTAACGTTTAAGAGTCGTTTAAAAGTCGCGTTACCTTGGAATCGATGGTCTTGGGATTCACCACGTACGCTCGGTCGACGTTGGTGCAGCAAACTCCGAGTACCTCTTCTATCACCGTTCTCGTCGAAATTTCGATCTTGGGCGCTATGATACCCTGTACGAACGATTCGATCGACGATGTATAAGATCGTTACGCGTGTGTAATGTAGCGCGGTGACAACAGCCAGAGGAAAATACAAACGGGAAAATATTTGCTCGGGTCCATGAGCAGGTCAACGTCGACTCCGGCCAACAGACCCTTGTAATTCGCTACCGGATACAATACATCCGCCAAGTTCGTCTCGAAGGTAGCCAAGATAATGGGCTGGTCGTTGCACGGGCTGAGCCACTGTATCAATTCCGCGTAGATAAACTCTTGCTCCAACTTCCGTTGCAACTCTGTCAAAGTAGCCAGCCGTGTGAAAGTTTTCTTAAAGTTAAACTCGTCGTGAAATAATAGTGGAAAAATCGGTGATACTCTGTGAGATTCAAGGGTAGAACCGAGACTGGTTATTCGTAGCGCAACTTTGCCGTTAGGACACAGCCATACGCCGGGACACGTTATCTGAAACGTTAGTTTTCGATCGTTCGACGCAGTCTGGATCGATTACGCTCGTTCGGGAAATAGGTAGAAGATGCTCGCGATACGTACGGCGTGCAGCTCTAATCGTATCTTCACGCAGAAACCTTTTCCTGCCATGACTTGGCCGATTCGCCGATGCGCTTTTATCCGCGGTTAGATTAACATCCTCTTCGCGGCTTACGAACGCAACGTCTACCGGAAACGTTGAAATTTGATCGCGCGTAAACGCCCAGTCACGGTCCGACGATTTTTCTAGTCTCGGGAGGAACGCGTATATACCCGCTTAACGGACTCGTGCCATCTTGAAGCGGGATCAGCGTCGGGTTCGTTGCCAGGTGACGGTACCGTCACAACATCGATATTGAATTTTCCCCGAGATCGCTTCGGTCTCACGTTCTCGAGTCGCTCAGAAATTTCGCGGATGCATGCTTCGTAACGATCATTTACGTTGTCTTCGACATGTTTAACGCGTTGAAAATAGAAGAATGTCGATTGACGCGCTCTTCGCGCCATTGCTTCCTCGAACGGCCATCGAGACGATATTCGAGAAAAATTCCTCGGAAACGAGGACATTCTACTTTGAAAAGTTCGCGATACCGCCAATCAAATATATTTTTTTCTATCCAATATACTTTGCAATAGTGTATATATATATGTACTTTTCATAAAAGAAACGAAGGGAATGATTTTTTATTAAATCATATATGTAAGAGAAAAGTTTGTCTTTCCGTCGAACGAACAGGGAATCGGATAAAGTTAATACGGTGTATATACGGTATACAGACGATTAAAAAATAGATAGAAGCGATTAAAATCGAAACTGCGTTTCGTCGACGCAGGCACAAGAGGTCGATAACGAACTTTTAAACAGATATCTCGATACTTTGGAGTAGTTTAGATTTTCAGAAGGAAAGAATTCAGATTTTCAGGAGGGAAGAATTTGGAGTTTTATGCTCTAAACGGTATTCCGGTGAATTTCTCGACTGGTAACCCTCGTTGACTGTGCCGTATATGAATCTCGTTAACGATGAAATCCGTGCGAGTTCTGGGAAAGCGTAATCTTGGATCGTCCGTTAGGGGTATCAGAGGCTTCGAGAACCAGCCGTATCTGCGCGTGAAAAAGCTGCTAAAGACGGTTGTTTCGAGAGAGAATACAGAATATAGATATTATAGGAAATAAGTCGTACTCCATGTTAACGGTCGGTGGCCTGAACTCGTAGATGTCCGTTGGTACCGAGATCAGACGTTTGGTAATTAAATCGACGTATTCCTGACGCACTTCGGACGCTGGGATCGCGTCGTGCTTCGCATAAAATTTACCGGTCAGAGGTTGGTTTCGACCGATCGCTACGAACTTCTCCTGTAAACGTATATATTTTTTTTCTTTCTCGAATCTTTCGGTGTACACTCGCAATTTTCTAGGATCCATATCGAGGGATTTTCAAGGTTTTTATCGCGTTCGTTCGACCGGTCAGCAAAATTTTCCAGGCGTACCGAAATTTCGCGGTTCGAAAACGAAAAGGAAGCGTGCGAAGGCATCCGCGAACGAAACGGTTCGAGAGTAGCGATATTTATTTTAAAATACAAATAGAAAACGCATACATAACAAGCGGAAGACCGTGGCTAATCAGTCGAAACTTTTCGCGACGCCTGTCGCGCGTCTCGGGCGAAACGATCGAATTTACTCTTAATCGGCGAGTTACGCATTTCGCGTGATCAGCCAAAAGGAATCGATTCTCTCGCAACGCGCGTTGCTTTTCGCGCTTTCGGCACTGTCGCGTTCAACATCTTTGGTACTAATCGCTGCTACCGTAAGCTGCCAATATTTCTACTTATATTTCTATAAATACTGCAGCCAACGTTCTTCTACCAACGTTTGGGCGCATCGCGGTCGCATTTGCAACACACACTCTTTTGCAACGCGATAATGGTAGCAAGAACGACGATGCCGATGGTGGCGATAATCGATGACAACGATAACGGTAATACTAATAGTAATAATGGTAGCTGTAGCGGTAATAATAATAGTAATAATAATAATAATTAATAATAATAATAATAATAAGAATAATAATAAGAATATAGTAAAGACTTAGAATCGCGTAGTTTTTCAATCGAACCAAACAAGTCTGGCTATTGGATTTTAAAGACGATGACGGTGAAAAATATGTAAAGCGTTCAGTGACGACGATTCGTTATCGAAATTTCGTCGATCGCGGAAAGAGTATCGTACAGCAGTTTTGTATAATCGGCGGCGCCTAGTTTATTCGAGTCGACGCAAATTCGAATTTCAGGAGCGCACGAGCTTGCAAACGATTACTGGATATTGCACGCGATCGAATAATAAAAGTCGAAAAAAATCTGAATCGAAATTTGTCGATGGTCGGTCGAATGTTTACGTATACCGAATACTTGATCGTTTCGAGGAGAAATACCGACGAAACGAGATCTATCTCGTTGAAAATGTTCCGTGCGTCGCTTATACGCTGCGATGTCGGTAGCTGGAGCATTACTACTGTTTTCCGTTTCGTCCGGCCGTTCTGCTTGGAGGTTTTGCGAGTCAAGGTCGTCGCGGCAGGTAGGCTAGCTGGTCCGGCGACGAGAGTCGAATTAGCTGTGATCGTCGGTAGGAACGGTCGCGATATCCGTGGACGACGAAGGCGAACATTTCGCATCGCTTTTGATTCTGAAATCGAAAGGAGGTGTCTCGCGTTACAACGCGCGAGGATCGTCGCAGCAGAATCACGAGTAAAGAAGAGCAAGCGCGATTACCTGGTCTGTTCGGTCGGTCGATCGACAACTTCCGACATCGGTTTTCGTTTCGCGTCGTTGGAACGCGCGTCCAGGTTTCCGTTATAGTATCCGTTCTCGCATCTCGGATTCAGATATTCGCCGGACAACGGAGATCTCCTGGTAGTCGGCAGATAATCCACGCTGCTAGGAGCCAGCAGTTCCTCGTAGTATTGAACGGTCTTCGGCTCGGGGACGGTACTCGAGTACTTTCTTGGCAAAGTGGAGGAGGCTAGAGAGGAGGACGAAGAGGAAGTGGCGTGACCGTCGTTGTGCGACGACAAACCCGCGAGGAGAGGCGGACTCCTGTAAGCCAAGAGGTCGGGTTCGGCAAAATCGGCGCTGTGGTACCTCGATCTGGAGGCGGATAGGTCGAAGGTAGGGGACCTGAGGTATCTTCTGAGCGGGTCGTAGGAAGAGGATAACGCTGGCAGATGATGATCAGTCGGCGACGCGAAATCGGTGTCCGAGTATCTGGATCTGTCGAGAGACCGGTTGCGCGGCAGCGCGACGTTCTCGTCGGCGTACAGAGCGTAGTTTCTGTCCGCGGCGTATCTGCCGGCGTTCGAGGAGAAAGCCAACCCGGTGGTACCGTACTTGCTGCAGCGATCCCGACCGGTAAAGCTGAATTTACGAGGCAAGGTGGCGCTCGTGGGCAAATTCAGTCCCGGTGGCGGTGCCGTCAGCGACGGTCTCCGTTTGTCGTTGAATCGGGAGTAGAAGCTTCGCCTGCGAATACGCTCGATCACGGAATCCGAGTCGTCGCTCTTCGCGTAGAAAGAGCGCGAAGGCGATCCGGGCGAGCGCAAATCTCGTCTCGCGTGGTTCAGCTCGGTCGAGCTGATCGACCACGAGTCGAAGCTCTCCGGCTCGTCGACGGGGGAGAAAGGCTCGTTCGCGTAGTCGACCACCGGAGATTGTTTCGGTGTGTCGATCTTGTCCGCGCGATCCTCGTTCTTTTCATCCGTTTCTTTCGATCGTTCCGATCGTTTCGGGAGAACAGCTCGGTCCGTCGTCGGTTGCGAGATCGACTCCGCGTGGCTCTCGATCATTTTGGCGCATTCGGTCACCTCCCGCTTCAGTTCGGCAACGTCTTTGGCGCGCAGTGGTTTGTCTATTACGATCTTGTTGCCCGTGATACTGGCGCGGTGCGTCACCTTCGAAAGGCACTCTATCAGTTTGTCCGGGACGTTGTCGTTCGCGGTCGATTTCTCGATCGCGTTCGAAAGGGAGACGACTCTCGGCGACTCGGATTTCGGCGAGTCTCTCTTGGGCGTGGTGTTTCGGAACGAGTGTTGAGGTATCTTGGAGAGATCGAGCTTCAAGTTGCTTCTGTTCGGTCGCTGCGATTCCTGACTCTTGTTTCGCTCGGCGGCGTCTACTACTTCGTTCTCGTTGCTCGTTCCGTTGCCAACCGCGGAATCGGATCCGTTCGATTCACCGGTTTTCTTTTTCGCTCGAATTTTCCCGGATTTTTCCTTCTCCTCGCTCGTTTTATCTTCCCCGTTATCGGACGATTTCTTCACGATTTTCTTCGCCGCTCGCACGATCTTTTTCTTTTTCGTTCCCTCGGAGTCGCCGCTCTCCGAATGCTCTCCCGGCGATTTTTTCGTCGATCTCTTCGTCTTTTTGTCCGAATCGACGCTGCTCGATCCGTTTTCCGCCGATGCCCGAATCGATTTGTTCGTTTTCGTCGCGACCGATCGTCTATCCTCGTTCGTTTTATCCTCCGATTCTCGATCCGTCGTTTTCTTCTTCTCTTTCCCGTTGATCGCCCTAACGGCCGTCTCCTTCGTCGGAGATCTTTTCGCGTTGTTCTCGCCTCCTCCGTCGGCGGTTCTCTTAGGCTCGACGATCTTTCTGTTCATCTTCGAGTCGCACTTGGCGAGCTTGGTCGGTATTCTGCTGGTGGCGGTGCTCGCGGACGAGCTCGTGTCCTCGTCGGGTTTGCTGTTGCTGCTGCTCTTGGGCGGACTTCTCTTAGTCGACCACCGGAGATTGTTTCGGTGTGTCGATCTTGTCCGCGCGATCCTCGTTCTTTTCATCCGTTTCTTTCGATCGTTCCGATCGTTTCGGGAGAACAGCTCGGTCCGTCGTCGGTTGCGAGATCGACTCCGCGTGGCTCTCGATCATTTTGGCGCATTCGGTCACCTCCCGCTTCAGTTCGGCAACGTCTTTGGCGCGCAGTGGTTTGTCTATTACGATCTTGTTGCCCGTGATACTGGCGCGGTGCGTCACCTTCGAAAGGCACTCTATCAGTTTGTCCGGGACGTTGTCGTTCGCGGTCGATTTCTCGATCGCGTTCGAAAGGGAGACGACTCTCGGCGACTCGGATTTCGGCGAGTCTCTCTTGGGCGTGGTGTTTCGGAACGAGTGTTGAGGTATCTTGGAGAGATCGAGCTTCAAGTTGCTTCTGTTCGGTCGCTGCGATTCCTGACTCTTGTTTCGCTCGGCGGCGTCTACTACTTCGTTCTCGTTGCTCGTTCCGTTGCCAACCGCGGAATCGGATCCGTTCGATTCACCGGTTTTCTTTTTCGCTCGAATTTTCCCGGATTTTTCCTTCTCCTCGCTCGTTTTATCTTCCCCGTTATCGGACGATTTCTTCACGATTTTCTTCGCCGCTCGCACGATCTTTTTCTTTTTCGTTCCCTCGGAGTCGCCGCTCTCCGAATGCTCTCCCGGCGATTTTTTCGTCGATCTCTTCGTCTTTTTGTCCGAATCGACGCTGCTCGATCCGTTTTCCGCCGATGCCCGAATCGATTTGTTCGTTTTCGTCGCGACCGATCGTCTATCCTCGTTCGTTTTATCCTCCGATTCTCGATCCGTCGTTTTCTTCTTCTCTTTCCCGTTGATCGCCCTAACGGCCGTCTCCTTCGTCGGAGATCTTTTCGCGTTGTTCTCGCCTCCTCCGTCGGCGGTTCTCTTAGGCTCGACGATCTTTCTGTTCATCTTCGAGTCGCACTTGGCGAGCTTGGTCGGTATTCTGCTGGTGGCGGTGCTCGCGGACGAGCTCGTGTCCTCGTCGGGTTTGCTGTTGCTGCTGCTCTTGGGCGGACTTCTCTTCAACTTGCTCAGAATAGCGTTTTGCGATCGCGTCGGTTGTTTCGCGTCACCGCTTTTGAACAAGCCGAGAACGGACGAAACTCTGCTCCTCGACGAATTCTGACCGGTCTTTTTCTTCGAACAGGAGAGATCCTCGACGCTGACGGCTCTCTTCGCGGAGCTCGATTCCTTGGAGGAAGATTCGGCGGCAGGCGGTGCCGATCGTTCGCGCGCGTTCTCCGACGATTCGTCGTTCGACCGAAGCTTCTCCAGTTTTTTCTCCAACGAGTGCAAGAAACCGTTTTTCGAGCTCTCCTCCGGCGACGTTGCCGCGTCCTTTTTCCCCTCGAAAGATTCGTCGACGTCTCGCGAGAGCCGCGAGTCCCTCTTCAGCGAGTTGATCTCGTTCTTCAGTTCCTTCTCTCGCTGTTTCTCCCGTTCGACGCTGTTTTCCCGCGCCGCGAGAGCGTCGCCGCCGCTTCCGCTACCGTTCTCGGTCTTCCTCCTCATGAACCGAGACTTGCGTCGCTCGTTCTCCGCCGCTTTCTGCGCCTCCTTCTCCTTCGCGTATCGGCTCTCCTCCCTAGGCGTGTCGAAGAAGTCTGGCCGAAGGAATCGCGATATCCTGCGTTGCTTCGACTTTTGCGTTTTATCCTTCTCCTTCTCTTTGTCCTTTTCTTTGTCCCTCGCGTCGTTTTCTCGGTTTCCACCGCCTTTGAACAACTTGCTCAACAGCGACTTCTCCGGGCTGACGGATCGCGATACGAGTCCACCGTCCAGCGAGTCCGCGAACGATTTTCGACGATCGCCGATGGAAAACGGTTCTCTGGTCAACGAACCGGAACGCAGTCTCAGACTGGGGATGCAGCTTCGTCGTTTCGAGAGGGTGGTCGTCGAATTGATCGGTTCGCCTATCGAGATCAACGATCGCTTCTCGCATTTGTCCGTGTCCCTGTAGCTGGAGCTCAAGTTTCGATCGAACTTACCCGGTATACCACCCGTTGGTCCGAGGTTCTTCAATTTCGACTCTTTGATCAGATTCTCCGCTGCCAATAATCTGTTCTCGAAATTTCTCGAAAGTTCGGCGGACTTGTAGGCGGCCGCTGATTTATAATCGAACAAGTTCGAGGAGGGATTCGACTCGGTGGAGGAGCTCTCGCAGGATTTTGCCGAGACGCTGGACGTCGCGTCGAGTAGGTTCGTGTTCGACTCGCAACCGTACTCGGAGACGGAGCCGTTGTTTTCGGCCTTCTCCCGTTTTTCCCCGTCGACCGTCTCCTCCTGGATCTTGTCCGTTCCGTACGAACGGAAGCTCTCTCTTCGAAGCTTCGAAGCGTTTCTCGCGCCGGTCGCGTCCTTGCATCGCTTGTCGAAACTCGCGTTCGTCCGCGATTCTTTCGATGATCGGGCATCGTCGCCCCTGTCCTCTTCGGCGTACTCGCTGCGCCCGGCCGACGCTTTCTCGATCGATCGTTCCGATAAACTGTTGGTTCTTCCGAGGCTTCTGCTACCCGCTCTCTGCCTGTATTCGGTCTGATCGGACACGGCGGAGACGATCGAACGATCCGTGGCTTCGGACTCGCCGTTCGGTGATCTGCAACGATTCTCGTAGAAAACGGAAGAAGATCCGGCGTTTTGTTCGATCAACGTCCTGCTCAATCGCCTCGCCAAACTGGGCGTGAAGTTTTGTTCCAAGGATTCTTGCGTCTCTTTCCTGACTCGCGCCGGCTCCGCTTCTACGTGTTGGCATTCTACTTTATCTGAAAAAAGAGGCGAGGTAACGTGTCTCTACGCGTCCGAAAGGTTCGCGTGGTAGCTCGGTATCGCGGCAACACGTTCCTTCGGTATTTACCCTTTCCTCGTTTCGCTGTTCGCGTCCTCTCTCTTTCCCACGATCTTTCTCTCAATTTCGCTCTTTCTCTTTCCCTAAAACAGTTCTGAATTCTGAAAGAAACTACTCGAAACGGTGCGAAACGAGAGGATCGGTAACTTTCGTCGATTCGAAATTTTCGATTTTCTATTGATCCGGATTGCGCGACACGATCGAGTCGAGGGACGTTTCGATCGCGGCCGATGACGAACGGAGGAACAACGTGTAACGGACGATCGGGATTTTCGTACGAACAGGTTTATTTTTAAAATAACAATAAATATATTTAACATTTACGAAGTACGATACAACTTTAGCAAGAAACTTCGTCGATCGACTTTCTCGGACTCTAACCGATTCTTTCTACACACATTTTTTCGGCACTACGAATCTCCGAATTCGTCGTCTTCCGATCGGAAACGAATCGTTTCTCACCTTGTACTACGCGCAATCGAAAAAAAGAAAAACGGCCGGAAACGAGTTAATTCGTCGACTTCGGAAAGAACCGATAGAAAGATTTGTTCGAAGAATCAGAATCGAACGGGAAGTTTAACGGCTCGATCGCGATTCGTCTCCTTTCGCCGAAAAATCCGCAATATCCCATTCGCGCTTTTCCGAACGAAAATTTTCATCGAAACGTGCAAAAGTTGGAGCACTCGCTCGAACTTTTTACGCGTTCAAATTTCATTCGCTCCGACTTTCTTACGCGCTTACCAAAGCATACACCCACGCGCGTATACGGGTACACGTGTCTCCAACGCGTGTCGATGCAACAAAATTATCGAGCGTAAATTTATATGCTCGTTGAACGATTACATGCAGATAAAAGAGGCTTGCTATATGCGTACGAAAAATGTTGTTACAGGTTTCCAATGGATATTCACAAATAAAAACGTTATTGGAGAACGACACGATGGTTCTTCGTTTTCTCGATCGCGTCTTGGCCCAATTAACGGCTTTCGGAACTGTATTACGCGAAGGTAGCGCTTCGAATCGTACGAGTTCGAAACCGAGTGTCGCTTCGACGATCATCGGTAAGAACGTGCGCTAAACGAAACGCGGTTTTGTCGGGATTCGAAAAATGAACCATCGTGCTTGGATAACATCGAAATAAATACATACATATACATTTATTTTATTTTATACATAAATATATATATATATATATGTATGTATATATATCACCTTAGGTGTCTAAATCACAACGCGTCAAATGTGTAAACTTAAACGAGATAGTGTAATGCAATGTACAATATTAAATACAATGTAGTAGCATTATCAAAGCATGCTGAGACAATGTAAAAGTAATAAAACGCTGTTATTTTAAACTCTTAAAAACACAACAAGTATCAGCCATCTCAAACAAGGGTTAGCTCGTTCGCCTCGTGGTGTACGATTTCTCGAGATACATCGTCTTTCGACGCGGTCCAACTCTTTCTTTTCTTTTATTTTCCTCTATATTTTCTTGTATATTTTCTTGTATATTTTCTTGTATATTTTCTTGCATATTTTCTTGCAGCGAAAGCTCCGGCGAGGGGATCGTTAAGCGATCGTTCGGCGAGCTTCGCGTCCTCGACGATATATCGGGTGGAGTAGAATTTTCGATTGGACGACTATCGTCGCGTCGCGTTCCTTCGTCTCTCTCTTCTCTAGCGATTCTCGCTGTTATTAACGAAGTTTA